TTCTTCTTCTTCTTCTTCTTCTTTCTTCTTCTTCTTCTTCTTCTTCTTCTTCTTCTTCTTCTTCTTCTTCTTGTTCTTCTTCTTCTTCTTCTTCTTCTTCTTCTTCTTCGTCCTCTTGTTCTTCTTCTTCTTCTTTACCTTCTTCTTCTTCTTCTTCTTCTTCTTCTTCTTCTTCTTCTTCTTCTTCTTCTTCTTCTTCTTCTTCTTCTTCTTCTTCTTCTTCTTCGTTGACCCTTAAAAGGGCTGTTGACACGTTGATTTCTGGTTTACAGCTAGGATACGATATTTGCGCTTTGCGGCCCAACACATCCGATTACAGTTAAACGTTGATTAGTCCCCTCTTATAACATGTTTGTTAGGAGTCAGGGTACTTTCTAATTAGCCGACCACAAACAGAAGAAATTCACAGGTCACGGAACAGTCAAATATTTCAGGGGATGGTAGATGAAGCGTATAGTTTTGGTTAGGGTTAGGTAAACACGCGAAAACTTTGGCCTTGGAAGAAACGCGATAAAGCACAGAAACCACGAAAAACCCGCTCCCACCACCCTCTAAAGTATTGGACTGTCCCGTGAGGACATTTGAGGTCGGCTAAAAAGAAAGCACCGGAGACAGTCAGTCTATTTTTTAACCAAAAAAAGGCACTGGACGCCATGCGCGGATCTGTAATGGCAATGCATTCATTAATTTTCATAATGATTATTCTTATTTTCATTTCAGTGTTACAATGGAAACCTTTTTGAACCGACAATTTCAGTAGCATGAGAAATGTAACTTGTTTGTACTTTTAATTTGTTGTTACTTTAACTTATTACTTTACCTTGTTTGTTTTTGATTATGAAATTTTAAGGAAAGTGTGTATGGATGGAAGCATGAGTTAAGAACTTTGGCAGACATTTCATTCTCTAACCAAATCTAGGCCCTGTCCAATGTAAGGCACGTGCGGGTAGATAAGTTCGACAACTCGGTCAGCGTTTGAGCGATCTCCACGCAAGACGTAAAAGCGAAGTTACAATCTATGGAAACGATAGAAAGGGTGGGCTGGAAGAGAGAAAAAGGCAGCTGAAATGTATGGGGCAAGTCAAAGGTGAAGGTTCCCTGAGATAAAATGGACAGTCGGTATATAGAACATACAAATTCCACTGGGAATCAGGGAGGACACTGGTTAATATCATAAAACGATATCAAACCAGATGCTTGGCACCCTTCCGCCTTTCCAGACAATATTGTTAAAGGTTAAAGGTGAAGGTCAGAGGATCGACTACATTGCATCCGGTTTTATCATATACGGCTCAGTCTCTCACCTTCATTGCATCCGGTTTTATCATATACGGCTCAGTCTCTTTCCGCATAACAGCTAGCTGCCTAATGAGAGCGTCGCACAGAACACGACCTCTGTAGCTCAAGCGACAGTCCCTAGGTATCTCCGTAAAAATTGCGCTCGTTAACTGAACGGCGCCGCCGTGAAACTAACCCACCACCTTTCAGAGTGCGAGGCAAACAGCTTGAGCACTTCGCCACAGAGACCACCTATACATTATTGTTATTGTGTGCTATGAGGAGGCAAGGGACGATGGCGAGTGTAACTAGCGAGACCCGCCTGCGTTAAAAAAAAAAAAATCTTTTTATTGTATCATGAGATGTCCTCACCCTTGTTGTCAACATTTGTATTTAATGTGTTCCCTCTCAGACGCTCAACTCTCACCCTTTCTGCAATAATTTCTCTATTCATTCTCATTCCCTTACTAAAGGAGGGGAGGGGTTAGTCTCCATGGTGAAGTGGTCAAGCCGTTTACCTCGCGCTCTGAAGGTATTGAGTTCGTTTCACATCGGCACCGTTTATTTCATGAGTGCAATTTTTCTGAGATCCTGAGGATTGTCGCCGGAGCTATGAAGGCAGTGCTCTTGCGACATAGTTTTAGCTGTTCTGCAGGGAGAGACTGAGCCATATGTGATAAAAGTCGGTGTAATGAAGTCGATCCTTTCACCCTCACCTTCCCTTCCTGATTTGGCTCATCCACGCAACAGGGTTCAGTTCATTTTGTTTCCACGAATCCATTTTATTATATCTGTATCATTCATGTTCCGCTTCCACACGTCTTTATATTGCAGTAGAGGCCGGCCTTCAGAGTTGTCTTGGAATTGGCGGAAAGGTGAAGAGAAAGTCGATTGATCACTCTTCCTCATATACCATAGCCCAGAATATGTGAATGCCAAAAGCTTTACATCCAAACAACACTAGCTGCTTTGTGACTACCTTAACGTTTTACATTATGACCGAACATGTAACATTTCAAGAATAGATAAAATAGTCCAGACACGTTTTCTGACATGACGAGGCTGTGGCGGGAGCGTATCGTGCAGTGGGCAAGTGATAATATTTATCAGACGCTGTAGGCAAGGCACACACACTCTTAAAGCAGCAGATTACCTGAAACTGAGACTGATGTAAATATCAGCCAATCAGACGAGCAGTTCCAGGAATTTGTGTAGGAAATCGTCCCTTTAAACAAATCTCAGGACGTCAGACCAACAGGTAGCGGCTCAAAAGGGGGAAATACGGCACGTGCGCACCTGTTCTTTGCTTAGGCTTGAAGTTCTTGTCATGTTATTTACACCTCTCTCTCTCTCTCTCTCTCTCTCTCTCTCTCTCTCTCTCTCTCTCTCTCTCTCTCTCTCTCTCTCTCTCCCTCTCTCTCCCCTTCTCTCCCCTGTCTCTACTAATGATTTAGAGAGAGGAAGGTCGTGGGCTCAGGTCATGACGGTGCCAGGAAATTGTCAAAAATGACCTTGGCTCCCAGGTCGACACTGTCTTAAATGGGTACTAGGTTAAGTCCTAGGAAGTAAATGCAGCCGGTGTGATGCTGACCTCATCACCCACGGAATGCCGATTGGTGGATAAAACGTCGGTTTAGCCCTATATACCCAGTACGCATAATTCGTAGACATAAACATTCATTATTGAAATGGACAAACAAAAACAAATACGATATGTATCCCAAATATAGTTCCGCTGGATTGAGCAGGATATTGTTGTTTAAATGACTACACATGCATACATATTTTTTTTATATGTATGTATACATTAAAAAGTTAATTCTATTTTTCATTTTCTTTTCTCGCAGTGAATATGTGACTCGCAGTACAAAATGGAGGATAAAAATAAAACGGTGCCTAGACTGCAGATAAGGCGTCCATCAGTAGTTATTATCACACGATGGAAATGGTTAGCGCTTCGCATCCTGGTTGCCGTGGCGGGAGTTTTGGTTGTGATATTAACAATAACGCTAGCAATTGTTGCTACTACAAACACTACACCGCCATACTGCTCTAGCGGCCTAGGAAGTAAAAACAAACATTTGAACAACCCTGGCTTATTCAACGACTTAACCCCGAAAGAGATGATAGCTATTAGAGATTATCTTCATTCTCAGAAACGCCTAAATCTGATCCTCTTTGAAAACGCTACTGTTGACTCTAGTTACATTTTCATGATGTCGCTTCAGGTCCCACTTAAAGCTGCCGTGTTAAACTTTCAGGAAGGCGTGGACAGAAAGCCACAGAGAGCCGCCAAAGTGATTGTATTTAGAGGAGATGCTGATCCCCCAAGAGTTGAGGAATATGTCGTCGGACCTTTACTTACTCCTAAATTTTATAGAGTAGTGACAAGTCCTGCCTACCGCAGGGTTCCAGTTCCTTTCTCAAGTCGCCCAGTAGATGCCGTTGAAAGAAAACAACTAATGCATTTCCTTTCTACTGCTACAGAAGGACTATATTCATTCTTTCAGGAAAACTATAATTTGACATTTCACAACTGTACGTCCAGTGATACTTGTATTTTGTTTAAAGACTTTGGATCTGCTAGTTCCAGGAGTGGAGAAAGACAATCTTGGTTCTGGGCTTATAAAGAAACTGGTGGATTTTATCCTCGTAATCTTGGTTTTGCCATACAGGTAGACCATCGAAGTGTTCGTGATTTTGATTGGTCTGTATCGGCGGTAAGCTACAACGGGCATATTTTCAACGATGTTAGTGATTTAATCGAGGCATACACAAACGGAACTGTAAGAAATATTCGTTACATATTAGACGACGCGGATGTCAAGTTATCAGCTTCTAAACGGCGAGGTTATAGGTCGTTTAATGTACCTCTGCGTCCACCTCGCTTAGTCGAGCCGGACGGTCATCGATACACCATTGACGACCAATTTGTCCAGTATTTTGGATGGAACTTTAACTTTCACATGCATTCGGCAACAGGTCTCCAAATTGTAGATCTTTACTTTCAAGGAGAAAAAATTGCTTACGAGATTTCTTTGCAAGACATTACGGCTTTCTACCCAGGACCTGTTTCAACTTGGCTAGGGCTGTATGGGACGTCATGGTTAATAGGAGCATCTTCTTATGAACTTGTACCCGGTGTTGACTGTCCCGCTACCGCTAGTTTTAGAGATTCCTATCATTTTGCCAACTCTGGAAGTCCCCTTCGCTACAAAAATTCGATATGCATATTTGAACAGACCGCTAGTACTCCGTTAAGAAGACACTATTCAAATGGAAAGGATGGTAAATTTGACTCCTATGGCGGGTTAGTGTCAAGTAATCTTGTTGTTAGAGCAATCGTTAGTTTGTGGAATTGTGATTATATCCTTGATTATATGTTTCACCTGGATGGAACAATACAACTCAAAATATCCTTATCTGGGCATGTGCAAGCGTTTTTTAGTTTAGCTAAAGAAGATAGCAATGATGACATGGATCACAATGTTAGGGGTGGTTTACATCAACATCTGTTCCACTGGAAAATCGATTTTGATATAGAGAAACCAATGAATAGGTTTCAAACATTGGATATGACAACGGAGTCCGGGTCAAGCTTCTGGTATAATGACGCTGTTAACAATACTCAACTGAAATCTGAGGCTAGTCTGAAGGAGACTGAAATCGAAGCAATTATCCAGCATGACTTTGATTTACCCCAACACGATATTATATATAACATGAAATCAGACAACAAATACGGAAACAACAGAGGCTATAGGATAATTAACGAAGCAAAGAGCAAGTTTTTGCTGCAGAATTCCACAGCTGCCAGATCTGCTGGCTGGGCTAAATATCAGGTGATTACTTTTTATACTCGTTTATATGATGTACAGTTAAGTAGTTGATTCTTTTTGTACCAGCAAACATATCACATGTAGTCAGATATTGCCATTAGTCACTTAGTAGCCTTACAATTTGGGGGAGAGAGGGGGGGGGGTGAGGCTCCAAGGGCTTAAGGCCCTCCCCCAACTCCCTCTGTCTCTCCCTTTATGTCTCTCATACTCTCTCTCTCTGTCTCATGCGCTCTGTCTGTCTCTCTCTCTCTCTCTCTCTCTCTCTCTCTCTCTCTCTCTCTCTCTCTCTCTCTCTCTCCCTCTCTCTAGCTTCAGGTGCTCTACGATAGAAACACCATGTTTTTCGGGGCTCAGTTGTAGGGAAAATAAGAACAGACCCACTACATTCCCAAAAAAGCATGTCTTAAGAGCCAAATAACTGGGGATTCCTTCGAAGTCGGAGAGCATCTGTTTAAGGAGTAAGGAACCAACAGTTTGTAATTAAGAAACTCAGATCTGTAAAACGAATGTGCACACAACACTCAGGTTCTAGAACAATACTGATGTCCAGAAGTGGGCGAACAACCAGAACTTTCCGCCAGAGTTTACAGTCGGTGAACATGAAGAATACAAAGAAGAAGAAACTATACTACTCCACATGCATTGAAAAAAAAACACATACACACACGCACACAAAGAAAGAAAGAAAGAAAGAAAGAAAGAAAGAAAGAAAGAAAGAAAGAAAGAAAGAAAGAAAGAAAGAAAGAAAGAAAGAAAGAAAGAAAGAAAGAAAGAAAGAAAGAAAGAAAGAAAAAAGAAAGAAAGAAAGAAAGAAAGAAAGAAAGAAAGAAAGAAAGAAAGAAAGAAAGAAAGAAAGAAAGAAAGAAAGAAAGAAAGAAAGAAAGAAAGAAAGAAAGAAAGAAAGAAAGAAAGAAAGAAAGAAAGAAAGAAACGCATAGCTTATAAAAGAAAGATAATTTTGATAATGATGTTCACAATTTGTGTAATTTAATGAATGACATTCAAACAACACAAACGAATACTTTAGCGTTCAACCAATTAAAGGACAGCTCTTTTGCATTTGAGTCGTCGATAGTTTTAGGCGCAGGGACTTTCCCGTCAACTAATCAAAATTGCCAAAGGACAACTATGCGTTGTTTTTTTTTTAATCAGGACCTGTTTCAACACGGTTATGTCTGCATAGCTGCGGCGAGGGTGATAGGGCTATAACTTGTCATCCCTTTGTGGGATGCAATTTTTCGTTATTTGAAGCCCTACTCTGGCTCTTGCCAGGGGCCGCAATAAAGCCTGGCCATATATATGGTCTAATGGCTGAACGCGGTTTCTGGGACCTCTTCACGGATGATTCTCGTCCACATAGTGGCACTTTATGTCATCGGGTGTTTATCGCTTGTGTGATGTCTTGGTGGGGTAAAAGAAGATATAGATAGATAGAGATAGATGATGGGGCTGCAAATTTTGAGCAGCTTCATTTAAGATTAAGGGCTAGTTAATTCAAGAGATAAAGCATGCAGGGCGATGCGCTATCTCCTTGATTTTCCAACCATGAAGGACATAATAGAAATTTGTCAAGCACAAACCTACCTCAGAGTCAACGCAGTCACACGACTCCCGGTTCGTAATTTAATTAGGAAGGAAAAATGCCTGCAAAAAAGTGGATGATGGGTCAAGGACATTTTTTAGCAGGTGTGCTCTCTTGAGGACATAGAACCTGCTGATGAGTGGGTACAAGTGCCAACAGATTCATGTACGACCTTTTCTGTTCGATTCTGACTGGACAGACAATGCAGACAACAAAGACTGGCCCCAGTGAAGGCAGAAGTGCTGGTCTTGATTTTCGAGAATTCTCTAGAGGCGAACGCCGACATTTATACAGATGTTTCTGAGAGAAGCTCATGCGCTTTTACGGCTTATGTTGGAGTTAGAACTTTGAAGCAAGATTCTGGTGCTTTCGCCTTGGCTACATACAAGTAGTCTGACTATGAAGGTCATGGCAGTGACCAAAGCACTAACATGGCTAAAGACGCCAACCTTTGCCCGCGCATGTTTTTTCTGAGACTCAGTGAGTATGTTCATGATAATAGAGATGGGCTGGATCCGAAGACAGTGGCTGGAGTATTTGAGGCGATCGGGGTTGGCGCATATCAGTTTCATATTCGTGCCAGGGCACACAGTTGTGCAAGGAAATGAGCAAGATGATAAGCTTGCAGATAAAGCTAGCATGGCGGACGGTAGACCAAGTTGGCATATTGAATACTCTATGAAAAGTAAGACGTTTGCGAAAACCAAGTGATGATTGTGAATCTGCAACAGTGATTATATGCCAACTCTGGAAGCTCCCTATAGATAGAGCACAGTATGTTTTATAACATATGTGTCAGAATCATATGGGTTAATATTTCAGCATTTACAAATAATATTACATTAGATCGGATTGTTGCACTATCCTCATATCATTCCAGGCACATTATGTGTCGCATTTAACTGAATGACTGACTTTCTACCTCACCAGGACATCACACAAGCGATAAACACCCGATGACACAAAGTGGATGAGGATCGCCGTGGAGAGGTCACAGAAACCGCGTTCAGACAATTGGCCATATGTATGGCCTGCCTATATTGCGGCCCTGGCAAAAAGCCAGGGTGGGGCTTCAAATAACCAAAAATTTCGTCCTAAAAAGGACGAAACTAGATTGCATTGGCTTGCAATGCTTTCCTGTAACTGTGTCGCATTTAGCACAACTCCAGCCTAGGTCTCTTATCGTTTGTCACCTCATGCAGTTCAGATACATTCTCTAAAATCATTAATCTCTTGTCAATAAATCTCTTTACTATAAGTTTTAACCCCCCTCCCCCCCCAAAAAAAAAAAAACTATCTTTCTAATTCTTTTGCTCTGTGGGTTCAGAGAAAGGAATTTTTAGCTATAAATCCTTAAACTCGATTCAGACTAAAATGATGTCAATTGTTCTAGAGAAAATGTTATTACATGTATTAATATTAATAATAATAATATGTGTGCTGTTTGGCCTTAGCAAATCTGAACATGACATTTTCTATTTTTTCAAAATTTCGTTAGTGTCCTGCCACTGTGGACGATTAGGCATCCACATTAAACAACTATTTAATTGTTAAAATCAACTCAAAATCTCTATAATTGTTGTCTATAATTATTTCTTGCTGCCCTACACATATTCAATTTATACAGCCCCTGGCTGTTGTGTGGTTTTCTAGGCAAATTTACGTCCAGTAGTTTGCCATTGCTTCTGGACGGTCAGCTTTCTTGATACCACTGTCGAAACCAACGCAAGGCGTATGGCCCGCAGCTGGGATCAAACCCGGCATCCTGGCATTACGAAGCAATTTATACATATCGGAAAATATTTGTGTGCTTACATCTGCCACTGTATGTACCTGTGCTGGTGCGTCCTGTCTAGATGCTTATATTATCACACTGTAACCTATACAACACATGTTTACTTTTTCCTGTATTTTCCCCTCGCATGAATTCTCAAAGCTGGCTGTTACCAAATACAAGGATGTTGAGGACAGCAGTTCATCCATTTATGCCCAGGGTGACCCCTTTGATCCAGTACTTGATTTCACCCGCTACCTAGAGGACAATGATTCAATCGTGGACACAGATTTGGTGGTCTGGGTCTCATCAGGATTCTTTCATATTCTACAGTCAGAAGACATCCCTGGTACCAGTACTACAGTAAACCAAGCGCAAGTGTTTTTGAAGCCATATAATTTCTTCAACCACTGTCCCAGTATGGCTGTGAGTGACGCACTGGTAATCAGACGTCAGAAAAGTGAGGGCAAAGACCTCTCATTTGATACTTTTGAGACAGAGTCAGGTGAACCCTTATGTTATCAGAAAGAGAAAAGTGTAACTGAATTTGATGGTGAAATAAACGATTCTGAAAATTAGTCAATTAACAAATTTTTTTAAATAAGATTTTCAACTCATTCGGTCCCAAGCAAATCGCTCTGCATTTCTTGAGTTCAGTTACATTATATTCTCAACCTTCTGAGCCCTATCTAGTAATTACGTTAACCTACTCTGCCTCAAATGTTGTGCTCTACATCCTTCTTTCTCAGAGTATTATTATTTTCTTTGCTTCAGACTCAAACATGTTTAAGTTAAAATAATAAACATGCAGATTATAATGCAAGTAAGTATCATTTAACTTGGGTCTCAAAGAGTTAAGTCTTCCTACACTATTACATTGCATTTACAATATTTGTGTGTGGTTATCAATACTTTCTTCAATCAGTTTAGTAAATAACAGTAAGGAAATTTATCTTCCTCCTTTTTCAACTTTTTATTATTCTACACACTACATAAGATAGACAAAAAGATATGTCTTTTCCATTTCCTCATTTGCTTGTGTAGCATTTATTTCTTTATGTCAGCTCCATTGCAGTCACTCCTGTTTCCCTACATTCCCAATATAATCACGAATTATGTCAATAAAGACTACAATTCATCATGACTGAACTCTTTCAGTACCTTTTCTTTTTCTTAGTGTTCGTCAGCTGTAAACTCCGGTTGCTCCAGGACTTGATTTTTGCGTGCACATCCATTGTACAAATCTGACTTATCTGTGTGCAGACTACTGATTCCTCACCTCTCAGGCATTTGCACACCAACTTCAAAGAAAACTGACCTAGTTTTTTTGCTTTGAATGACATGCCTGTTAGGGAAGCATTGAACCTACCCCCCCCCCCCAACAGGAAAACTCATTCAATATAAAACAACGCAACAAAGGTTTCTTGGTCACTCTTAAGATAGTATGATGTTTATGTGGTGTCTTCTCCGTCACATAAACATCTCATATCAACCCTGACTTTCTGAATCTTTAGTTTGCCTTCTTCTGTCCCATGATGTCTCTGCTAAACTCCTCGTTTATGCTCAACCTTTTGTAAGTAAAGAGTTGAAGAAACAACCGCCTAGTACTGAAAGACAAAGCTATCAACACCTTGGGGGGGGGGGGGGGGGGGGGGGTGGAGAGGAGGGACCTATTGTCTGAGGTGACCAAACCAATAAATGAGATGCTATCTCCAGAAAATCTCCAGCATTCTTTGTCATTCACTTGGTCATTTGTTTTTATTCTTTTTTTTTTCATTTATAATCTCCTGAGAACCACTGCATTTGATTGATTTTGTTTTGATAAAATCGAACCTATTCTGTATTTCCAGCGACTTAATTTGACTTCTGCTTAACTGAAAAGCTTTTTGCACTAAATAGGAGAGTTGAGTATGTGTAACATTTAAAATTTCCTATTTGTATCGCTCTTTTCTCTCAACATATTAATAATTTTCTGATGTCGTTGAAATTATTTTAAATTTATATTAACTTGTTTATGTCTATATCACTTCTGCCATCATTTGTTATTACACCTTTAAGATAGGAGAAACTTGTTACTTGTTCTATCTCTCCATTTACTGTGATGTTCATTGCTGGCCAAAGGCAATTTATGGTATATAGGGCAGTCGTGCAGAATATGATATATTGTTATCTTATTGATGAAGCAGAAGTATTTATCAGTATAAAATTTATTTATGGAAAAAAAAATGTCTGAAGTCTACAGCAAGGCTGTCATATCTCATGTTTTGGCACAGCACATATTATGTTAAACAAATAATTTCATTCAAATCTTTTTTTTTTTTTTCTGTTATAATTGCCTACTTCTAAAGCAGCAGATGGTTTTAAACCTAGATGTTGCCATATAACATCAAACTGCACACATTTATACACACACCTGCTCGTGGACACACGTATGCGTGCAAACCACACACACACGCACGTGCCCATGCACGGGTGCACACACCCACACAGATACATACACAAACTGTACTGTATATGCCCATAGACAGCAATACAATTATGTAAATATAATGTTTCTAAACAAAATAACCTACCAAATAAGAATAATTATGACTTCAAAGAAATTTTATAAACAGGCAGTTTAATTTAGTTGGTACAAAATCATTTGTAAAGGGCAACTAATTAAGGTTTTTTTGATGAAATCGAATCTGCTGCGCCAAAAGGCATAAATATTGCAGCCTAGCTGTAAACCACAACACACTGTACCAACCACCATTTTAAAATTGATCACAGAACAGAAAGAGTGCTTGCAGCTGTCTGTAGAAATGTAATATTATACTGTGGCACATTATAATATACTTGACAGAGTTGTAACATATTTATTAATTTTAGACTTTAAAAAATTTTCAATGTAATTATTTATGTATCAGATGAAGCTTAAATATATGGCACAAGGAATAATGCTTCTAAGTATTATCATTCTATTCTTGTTAACACAGATTTTATTATTTTGTTTATATATTTGTTGTCTGGTAATACAATCAAAGATTTATGTTATTCTTGTATGTGGACAAAACAGTTCCTTACCACATACTGATTCACCTTGCAAAAATTACTTCTTAGTTTTCATTCACTCTTAACTGAAATCCACGCAGCCCTGTGATCTCTTTATAGCTCATTATATAGGGACATAGCTTGCCATTCAAGTCTTCTATAAAAAATGTTATATTGCAATTTTTGGGGGATTACCTATAGTACTTTTAAGTTTCGTGTACAAAAATTTTCTCAACTGAATAATATTTATTATTAGCTGTATCACATTCATGTTGCCATTCTGTTTTTGTGCGTTTTGTTTTTGTTCTAAATATTGATGTAATTTATTCTAGAACTCACTAAGACAATAAAGTTACCCTTATTCTATTCTTTGGCTGCTGCCATGGTGTAGCAGATCCAGAGGTCACAGGTTCAAATTGGAACCAAGCTGGACTTTAAACAAAAATATGACCTTGGCTCCTAGCCATAAATGGGTACCAGAGTCCTGGAAAGTAAAGGCAGCCAGTGGCATGCTGACCGCATCAGCCACTAAGTGCAAAATGGTCTATACCAGCGGTTCTCAACCTATGGGTCGTGACCCTTTTTGGGGTCAAACAAGCCTTTCACAGGGGTCGCCTAAGACCACAGGAAAACACATATTCATTGAAGTTATGAAATAGCAACGAAAATAATTGTATGGGCGGGGATTGCCACAACATGAGGAACCATACTAAAGGGTCGCAGCATTAGGAAAGTTAAGAACCGCTGGTCTATAGGTGTAGCACTATATGCCCAATATACCTGAAGGTGTGGAAAAAGGTCTTTTACTTTACACTATTTTTTAAATGTTCTTGTGGCTGATTGAAGTTTGAGGCTTGTTTCCTACGTGATAGTGTGAACCAACTTAGTAATCTTATATACTAAATCTACAGTATGTATTTCACCACAATCATGTGCACTGCCGATCAACAAAGGCTGTCAAATTTTGACATCTCACGTGATCACCAGAATCATGAATCAAGTTGGCGATCTTGTCTTGCTTCATTCATATGACCAAACCATCCAGGTATTTACCTCTCTGCCTTCCCCTTGCTATTTTTCTAACAATCTTGCCAGTCATCAGTGTTTTTAAGTCCATTGTGCTTTAGAAAGACGGTCTACATCTCTCTATCAATTTACAGTTTTCATCTGCGTAATTTACAGTATTGTTGTCTTTTTTTGCTTCTCTTCTAGATCTCGCGAACACACAGATACAATAACAGAATTTTAGTAGACGAACAGTATGAGGGAAATCTTGTCTTTAAGTGATAAGGAAGAAAGCCTGAATACAAATATAAATGATAGAAATGTAGGACCCTGTTCTTTCTAATCAAGTTGAATGATCGTAGACTTGATCTGTATCCCCTCAAAAGCTAACTTTTCCAACACAGGCAGATAGATATCTTTTGTTACTGGTAAAATAGCTCCTTTTCTATTTATTATGCCTGAAACAAAATTAAAACAAATATTGATTATAAAGAACGTTAATGCTTTCTGTACATGACAGCTTTTGTTTCAGTTATAAATATTACAGCTTTTAACACAAAAAGCTGTTATTCAATGTCTTTCTATATTCGGACTGAAACATTAATTAATTTACAGTAATTTACAGTGGGGATGAAAATCTGTACCAGAAATCACTGGCAGTATGCCGCAATGCAACATACTATGGGTTATAAAAAGAAGAGCAACTATCTGAGGCATAAAACAAAATGTTAAGTGTGCAATGGATGGCTTTTTCAATGTATGTATGATGTATTGCTTAGTATTCTTTCTTCTTCTTTTTTTGTCATCTCACTGTTACCAGGTTGTAACCCAGTGTTGTGGTTTCATGCATTTGTCTTGCGCTTCTCGGGTGTTTGACTGATAAATTTGTTCAACTTTTGGCAGGTTTCATCTACACCATTTATTCATATTTTTTCTTGGTCTTCCTCTCGCCTTCCTCCCAGATGTTCTCATATGCAGTCTGGTTTGGCTGCATTCTCACTAGATGGCAGAACCATTTCATTCTTTGTCTGTCAATATAATCCAGACATGGTCTTATTCCAACTTTCCCTATAATGCTGATATTCGTAACCCTGTCTTGTATAGTGTTGTTAGTAACTTTGCGGAGACAGAATTTGCCTTCTGTACTCTGGCTTCTATCTCTCTTTTGAGTCTGCCATCCTCCGTAAATATGCTTCCTAGATATTTGAATTCTCGTACTTGTTTGATTGTAGTACCGTTAACATGAAGGTTCATGATATTATGTTTCATGATTTTGCTTAGTACTGAACAAATTAAATATCATATTCAAAGACAAGAGGGAGGTGTGGCAGCATAGTGACACCCACTTGTAGTATTAACCTGCTGATTATTGGCTCAAACTCTCTGAAGGTGGGGTTTTGTTTGTGACCACACAGCTCAAGGATACACTGCCAAAAACTGTCACTACTGTCTGTATTTACCACTTTTTCAGTGTAGGCAGAAAGGAAGTGGGCAGTAGCTGATCACACTCTATCCTCATCTTCAGCAGCCTGTGCAGACTTCCAATACTAATGGTACCGGTCATAATCTGGTTAAATATCCATCTTGCCTTTCCTCTGAGTGCAGTGAGCCAGCCATACCCTCTGATCACACCCAGGTGCATCATTCTCTCTAGGCTACAATAATCCAGCTTCTCTTCTGACTTCGTTACTTGTTTCCAAAGGGCCTTGACCACATCTGCCTTGTCATAAATCAGTTCACCACCCTGTGGTGCAGATCCAGCCAATCTGTCTGCCTGTTCATTTCCCCCAAGCCAGCATATCCTGGAGAAAAAATCTAAAGTATGTTCCTTACCTGTGATCTTCCAAGTGAAGCTTACCATTCTGCTCGAAGCAACCCTGTCTTCACCTTTCACAGCATGCTTTCAGAGTCTGTTACAATTATGACATGTATATGCATCTTGTCCTTTAGCCAACGGAAAGCTGCAGTGACTGCCTCTACCTCAATTCTACATATTGTAATATCATATGCCAGGCTGTCCTGCACTAAAGATTTTCCATTGGCTTTCACTACAAACCCCCAGGCACTTCTCTTCCCTCTCAACACAGAATCATCTGTATAGATAATCAGATCATTTGGATAAGAAATGTCATGAATCAACTGTTGGACTTCCACCTCCATAGCCTTTTCCTCGTCCAATGTTCTCCAGCATGCATACTTGTCTTATTGTGTCTTCTGCTTGAGCCATCCACAATTTTCCCTTTTCAGCCTCTTACCCTAAGCTGCATCCAAAGCTTCACACAGAAGGTGCTCTTTGTCTGCATCTATTCTGAGAGATATGACGTAGCCTCCAGCCCCTTTAACCTATCTGCAATAGTCGGCAAAGCAAGGATATATCACATGCATACAACAGGGTGTCTCTTGTACTTCCCAGGATCACTTGCATAGCTTCATTCTGAATGCGGTCTAGTTTCACTAGCTGACTCTTCGAGATAGTGGGCAACCCCAGTTCATGATCAATCAATGAGATGATTAAGTGCTGGTGTGAAAAGCATTCTCTGCTGAAGAAGAAAAAGAAGAAACATTAGCAAGTGATATGTTACTGACCTTCCACTATAAGACTTGTACAAATGGCCACGGTAAGACCTACGGTTCGTGCCATGGCTGAAAAGCCACCAGCATGCCCCATTTCCAGAAGATCAAAGGTATACTTTTGCTGTTTACCATCTGCCAAAGTGGCCTGGATGACATTTCTCATAACAACCATGTCTCTCTCTTGAGGACCTGTACAAAGACAAACAAATAAACTGAAATGTAATTTTTTTCCTCGTTTTCTGCCCTTTTTCCTCCATTGGCCCAATGCCCTCAACCAACTCATGCCAAGTTGTCCTATCCTTTACTACTGCATGCAGCTCATACATGTCTTCCATATTTTTTTAACTTTTCTCTCTAGTTGCCTTCTCCATGTGTTTTTTGGTTTGCCTTTATTTCTAAGCCCATGTGGGTTCAAGTGTAAAGACATTTTAGTTTTATAGTTCTTAGGTTTTCTCAACGTGTCCTCTATCAAATGACAGTGTCTTTTCTACATCTTTTGATTCTTTGTAATTTGTTTAGTTCTCTCCCAAAGCTCCACATTACTGATTCCATTAAACAATTTAATTCCCTCTGTTCTGCATAGACATCAGTTAATTAAAGTCTGTAGTTTATTAGTGATTTCTTTAGTTGTTCTCCATGGAAGTTTCATACATTTTTGACTAAAGAGTTAATTGTCTGTGGTATAAGGCCTTCATCATTACCAGTCTGAGATAAGTTTCAGGCAGATCAGTAGCAGACAAAACTGCCTTGATTTCAACAACATATGAGTGTCAAACCATTCAGAAAGCGATGGCAAAATACTGCAGGTAAAATTGCATTGTAAACCCACAAACACAATTTGGGTCTGTTTCACTGTTGTATAACTTGATAGATTCTTGTTCACTAAATATTGGTGGCATCTTCCTACTCGTTTCACTGCTTAACCTTTGCTCCCCTGCCTTCAATTTTTTATTCAGTATGGTTTTTACAAGAAAGCCCTTTTATAATTTTCACAAGAATATTGTAATTTAACATGGCCGAAATATGTCACTTGTCTTTTGTTTTCTTCTTCTTCAGGTTCTATCTCCACTGCATTAAAACAACATATAATAGTAACTAATATATGTGAAAAAACAAAAACAATGGAGAACAGTGAAAGGCTGCCTTGAATGATAACTGAGACTATCAGGGATCCACCATGGTGAAATGGCTAGAAGCTCACATGCGGATCCGAAGGTCATGGGTTCAAATCTAAACGGAAACAGATTTTTTAAAATATATACCCCTGTCTCAAACAAGTGCAGCAATTTAAATACTTGGGGAGCATCTTCACAGATGATGGAAGAATTGATAGGGAACTTGAGGTAAGATGTCAAAAGGCGAACGCAGTAACTTACCAACTCTCCCCACTGCTAAAACACCCAAGCATCACAATGGCACTAAAACGACAACTGATAAATTGCATGTTTATACCAACCCTCTGCTACCAATGCCAAACCTGGTCCCTAACAAGAGCACAGGAGAAAAAGATCACGACGTGCGAAATGAGATGCTTACGTAAGGCTGCCAATGTCACAAGGAGAGACAGAGTTCGAAACGAGAACATTAGATCAATTGTAGGAACCACACCATGCCTGCAATACATAAAGAAGCAACAAATAGAGTGGTTTGGCCACTTGATGCGAATGCAAACTGACCAACTACCTCTACGAGCATACAACGAACAGCACTACTGCCCTAGAGCAAGAGGCAGACCGAGAGTACGATGGATAGACAATATATCAGAGATCCTGAGGCAACACGGACTAACAACAACACGTGCAACACACCTGGCCCAGGATAGAAAACTGCGACTCCCCACTACGCTGTGAGGCAATTGTGGACAAGACAAGACAAGACAAGACCCCTGGCTCCCAGGTCGACCTAGCCTTAATTGGGTATCGGGTGAAGTTATGGAAATTAAAGACAGCCGGCATGATGTTGATCACATTCCCTATTATGGGCCAATGGTCTATAAAAATATGAATTTAGCCCCTTATGCCTGATATGTAAAGGAACCTTTTAATACATTTGAAAAAAAAAAATATGCAACGTGAAAGCTGCCTTGAACAATAAGTGAGACTGTCAACTTATTAGACAATGGTAAGTCAGCTTCAGCATCAGTTTTCAGACTGACCATCCTTGTGACAATGACAGGTTCATGACACAATACAGATTAATCATGAATTAGCACACACCAAAGTTACAAGTAACACAATAACAGAAATGAACTTACCATATGCAAGCTTCTTAGCAAGGTGAGCACATAATGCATCAAGAGGGGTTGCTCAGCTTTGGAACTTCCTCAGTTCCCATAAGCCCTAGTCTGTAAGGAATACTTCTTATTTTCATTGCATTTATTGTCTAACAAGGTGCTGCTATTTAAATATTTTAAATATGTTTGTCTATATTAACTTGCAATATCTTATAAAGGGTGGGCCATATTAATGGGAACAAAATCTTGTCATCCATTTTTGGGATGCAATTTTTTGTTATTTGAAGCTCTACTCTGGCTCTTGCCAGGGGCCGCAATATAGCCAGGCCATAAATATGGTCTAATGGCTGAACATGGTTTCTGGGACCTCTCCACGGGTGATCCTCATCCACATGGTGGCACTCTGTGTCATTGGGTGTTTATCACTTGTGTGATGTCCTAGTGGAGTAAAAGAAGATAGATAGATTAATGGGGCAAATTTCAAATGCACATGTGGAGCATGTAGGAAGCAACATTTACTACCAAATATATGGAAAACACTGCTAAATGATGGGAGTTTTGCACTGTGTTCAGTGTTTGAAGATTACATTCCTGAGACGAATACCACCTTGATGAGAACACTCTTTGGCTCTAACAGTCATGTTCAGTATAGTTTTTGCACAGGGTTTTGGTTGGGATAGTTGCTGTCTTCCTTTGGATGTTGTCCTTCAATTCACTGATGGTAATGTTCAATGAAAGAAACAAACATGTAACTCTCATCCTTACACTTTCTATTAAGCTATATATAAAACATGCATGCCAGTTTTTGCTCACAGTAATTTAAATATAAATGTTTCCTATCAAAATGGCCCACCCTATATTTCTATTCTGTTTTGTTTGCATAAGAAGCTTATAAAAAATATTGTAATTTATTTTTTTCTACGTAGGATTAAATATGTTCCCTCAACTGTTTTACCTACTATGATTTTTTTGTAAACAAATGTCATTCTACATTGTCATTACATGAAATTATTACTCGTCATTCAAAATGTATCATATTATTGCAGTTTTTTTTATGATACATGTTTAGTCATGTGATTATGTTTTCTGTTTAGCAAATAATTTGCAAAATGTTTACCTTTACTTTCAGTTTAAGGCATTCTCACATTCTTAATTTTATGCAGTGTTGATTTATGGTGTATGTAACATATCACATTATTTATCCCTGATGTTTAAATCTACTCCACAACTTGTGCTGCAATACACAATGACAGAGTATAATCCTCTACCTATTTGCTGTTCTAAGATCTGGACATTTCTCCTAGTTTTGGGTGTCTCCATGGTGATGCAGCCAAACATTTAGCCTCACGCTAATTGGTAGTTGGTTCATTTCCCAGATATGTTCATTCAGTCTACGAGTGTTATTTTTACAAGGATCCTTGAAGATCATTGCTGGAGTTACAGAGTGAGTGCTTTGTGCCATGCTCTTGACAGGCATCTAACCTTTCTGCAGACATAGAACCAACCATATTGAATACAAGCCAGTGCAATGAAATAAATCCTAAATCCTTCTAAGAAAATTCTTGGAATTTTCTGGTATCCAATTTCTAGAAGACTGGCAACTCTAGAGCTGTACTAGTTGGAAAAACAGATTGTTAAACACATATTTTATGCAAATTAAGCCACAATTAATTTGATCAGATCTTCTTGAGTTATTACTTCTTTGGTTTCAACACAGAATATTGTATAACGTAGTGCAAGAAATGACTATTGTATAACAAAAACTGATTAATTTGGAATCTTTCCCCATTCTCGCAATTAAGAACACTTCTGACAAAATAATAACGCAGTCAATTAAAGTGGCTTATCTGTTTGTTCTCTATCACTGTAGGACAAACTGTTTTTTGGTAAATGCGAGCAGTAATAGAGAAAACATATTTACAACCAAACAGACATTCTAAAATTATGTGAATGAAGTTTAATAACAATGAAACATGTGATTAACATTAAAAAAGAAATTTAAAGTAAATTCTGACTACAATAGTATATAATACTCATACTCAGTTATCGTGTCTAGTTGAGCCTTGGTAAGTCCAGGTCGGCACTGTAGCCAGGATCTGATCTTGTCTTCAGATAAATTATCTGGAATCTCATTCAGTACACAGATCAAGTCTCTCTGTTCCAGAAACAAGATTTTACATCATACCAGAATAGAAATATAAGTGTGTTGTTCTTATTCTTTTCTGGCAATTTCTATGTCATTTTTCTCTGTTAATTCCTATTAATAAAAAAAGAAAGGCAGAGTTAGATAGAGAAATGTAAATTGAACATATGACTTAGTCTCATATTTTATAACCAGCCGGCACTCACTGGGTGATATGGTTAGTATCACATTAGCCATCTATACTTTCCAGAATATTTCCTGGTACCTATTAATTTTTTAAGGACATTCGGACAACATAGCCCTGGTCAATTATTAAAAAGGATCGAGGCAGCTAGAAGAACAAGAAGCAGAATGTTATATCTTCTGTGACACCTGAAGAGGTAAAAGAAATTGAAGATTGGGATTCAAACCCAACAAACACTGACCCAAGAAGCAATCATGCTAGCCACTGCATGGATGATACTCCATAAATACTAACTACAATATGCACAAAGTAACTAATAATAATTTGTCATTTTTGTAGTTGTGTATATATTTAGTTTATAGCAAGGCATTTGATTGTGTCCAGCACCACAAACTGTGAACTATTATGAAAAGTATGGGGTTTCCAGCGCATTTAGTGCATTTAATTGAAAATCTTTACCATGAACAACAAGCAGCCATCAGAGCAGCAGGTGAAATATCTAATGGGTTCAAGGTGCGAAAGGGGGTGAGGCAGGGGTGCATTCTTTCACCATACCTATTCAATATATACGCAGAAATGAGAAATATAAAAAATGACCAGACTTGTGACAGCTATGATCCGCTCAAAATTGGTGGCAACCCTATTCCGGAACTCCGCTACGCAGATGACATAGTCCTCCTTTCGAACAGTGTAAAGGGAATAAAAATTTTTATATTTTCTGTCCAAAAGCACAGTGAAGATCAAAATCTGTTCTTGAATTTAAAGAAAACGAAAATAATGTCCACAGATAAAACTCGCTGTCACCCAAAAATAACAATAAATGATGAAGAAATTGAAAATGTCACAAACTTTGAATATCTAGGCTCTAAAATAAACAACAATGGAGACTGTTCGACAGAAATTAAAAGGAGGATGGCCATAGCAATGCAAAGATTGAACAGCCTTAAAAGTCTATGGTTAAGCACCAGCAAGGAAATATAAATTAGAATTTTGAGAGCATGCATCTTCCCTGTGGCTACATACGGATGTGAGTCGTGGACTATCTCTCAGTCCTTAAGAAAGAGAATTGGGGCTTTTGAGCTGAAATGCTATAGAAAGATTCTCATAATATCTTGGACAAAGAAGATGAGAAATATTGACATCTTAAAAAGATGTGAACATCAAGGAAGATTGGCTAATAAACAGCATCCTTTCTCGAAAGCTGAGATATTTTGGTCATATCAAGCGCCATGACGGATTGGAAAAAATTATAGCAGAAGGCATGGTACCAGGAAGGAGGGGTAGGGGCCGACTGACACGAAGATGGGCACAGGATATAAGTGACTCCTTGAGTGTGAAAGTTCATGAGGCGGGAGAACTGGCGAGAGACTGAGTTTCTTTCAGGCAGACTGTGATGAGAGCGACGTTCTGCAAAGGACCTGCTAAATGATGATGATGATGTATATATTTAGTAGAATGTGCCAAGGTATTGAAAAATTAAACAATGTTAAAATCACTAATCCGGTATTTGTGTGCTCTATCAAAAGGTCAGCTGTACTCTGTTGTGAATGAATACATGAATGAGTCAAGAAGTGACATCAGTGCACTCGGAACAATCCCACAGGTGCTCTGTCCCCTTGCTGAGTAGCCAATGAAGTGTACCCATACTGGTGGTGCCAGTTACAACTTGATTAAAACTGTGTCTGTTTTTCCCCATGCAGGCAGAAAATCATTCCATTCTTAGAATCAAACTTTAAAGTCACAAATATCTTTAGCACAATTATTTTATTTTGTAAATGATGATTTTATTGGAATGTATATGTGAGCTAGAGAGCCGCCCTGGTCTAGTGGCTAGATGCTCACCTGCGGATCAGAAGGTTGTACGTTCGGTTCCTGACAGGAGCCAGACTTTTTATTTTCAAAAATGACCTTGGCTCCAAGCCTTGAGTGGGTACCAGGTACAGTCCTGGGAAGTAAAGGTGGCCGGCATGATGCTGACCACATCACCCACCAAGTGCCATTTGATCTATAAAATACAGGTCTAGCCATATAAACACAATACCCCTGAAAGGCATGGAAAAGGGACCTTCACTTTACTTACTATATGTGAGCTGTGTGGTCATGAACAAGTTAAACAAATATCAATGATGATCCTACCCAAGATATTCCAGGAGATTCAGCTAACAGTTGTGGGGTAACAGCATTGTTTGTGAGGCCAAGTCTGATCAGTGCTAGCATTCCAATGGAAAACCCCTGTCACAGATTTGTTAGAATAACATGTAAGTTACCAGATTTGTTCTAATTGGTTTACAGGCTGAAAAATGAAAGGGATTGTAAAATCTGTAGCAGATGCTAAAAAGCCTTCAAAAACTAAAAGAAAAAGGCAATGACAGGCATATCGTGGGGTCGAGAGGATCAATTAAATTGTTCAGGATTTATTCCTATATAGCTTGGTTTCCCTTATGCAATATGACTATAGTTTGTTCAACAATCGATCAACACACATGCAAGCCATTTTCTCGAAAACTGCCTGTCAGATCGCAATAAATTTTTGCATGCAGCCTTAGAATATCCATGACAATAAGGAAATATTTTTTCACTAAAGAATATCAAATGTAGTTTTTTTCCTTCTTCTTTATTATATATATTTTTATCGTGAAACCATCTTGGTAGACTTTTGGAAGGTTTACTTTCATTAGTTTCAGGAAGTAATGGACACTATGACTGGTTTAACAGGGAGTCAAAGAAAACCTATGTAATTTCATGGTTTTCTCGTGCAAAGATGCACTATTAGTGATCTGGAGCCAAAATAAGACGCAGGTCAAGGCTGTTTACTAGTTGGTGGCCATAGGCATTGTCTCTACATCTGCCTAGCGCCGCAGAGTGCCTGACCATAACCAACAGCAATCTGTCGACTGCTCTCACACTCCATCCACCACCTGCTTCCATGGCTTCACGTAACCCTGACTGGATGGTTAAACAGGTACTCCACCTTGCCCAAGAGTGTCCTGTAGACTAACGGAGAAAAGGAGGTGTATTAATTTCCTTTGATAGGGGATACCCCTCTCCCACTAACCACAAACTGATTCCTACAAAATATAAATATAAATAATATGATGAAAAAATCAGTAATAAGTTTTATAGTCTAATTATTTAAATAAACAGATTTTATTGCATCTGACGTTCATTAAGTAGCCACAAGGTAAGTACTTCCTCAAGTGCCAGGTCTGGAGCAAACACACAAAAAATATTTTTAAAGCTCTTAGGCAATACTATGTATTATTATTTTGTATTTTTTTTTGGGGGGGGGGGGGGGGGGATTTTTCCAGACAGAGGATTCAAGGCTGCTCATACAAGCAGACACACGCAATTTAGAAGCAAGAATTTTTACATCAACTTTGACAGATCACAGTCTGTTGTTTTAAAATTAGAAGATTTAAAGTCGAGAAGATCAACTGCATTGCACAAGGATTTTATCCAACCTGGCTAGGTCACAAAAAGCATGAACTCGATAGCTGCAGTGATGGGAGTCCCTAAACTGAACCTATAAGGCATGAAACAAAACGGCTTAGGGATTCATTCTAATGTAGCAGCTAGATGCTTTTCTGTGGATTTTAAGATTGTGGGTTCAAATGCAAATGGAGCCTGACTTTTTTCAAAAATGATCTTGGTTCCCAGGTAGACCCAGCCTTAAAGGGTACTAGGTTAAGTTCTTTGAAGTAAAGGTGGCCGGCGTGACAGTGACCACATCAACCATCGAGTACTGATTCCTCAAGGCGTGGAAAAATTGCCTTTTACTTTATGTTTTATAAACAGCTTAACCACTTAGCCATGGAGACTAGAATCTCTCACCTTTGTGGATACACTGGTGTGTGAGATAAGTATTTATTGAAATAAAATATACAATTTTATAAAAAGTGTTCAGTCATCTCACCTTGTATCTAAGTGTTCCCCTGTAGACTGTTTTTGCAGATTCTATGTTGTAAATCTTAGTGTATTCCGTTGAGTTTCTGTTTGGGATGTTTTCAAGATCAAAGCCTTCTACAAGGTCATCTACAACTTCTGCTTTCTCAAAAATATGACCTTCTGGTATTTCAATAACCTGGAAGACATGACAAGAGTTCACGAACAAAATTTATTTGTTTAAAAAGAAAAACAAATGTGTTTATTTTTCAAACATAATGTCACAGACAATAAATTGCATCATTATTACTGGCATATCTCACTATTTCTGATCAGAAAGATAACTATAAAACTGGGTCAATATTAATCGAAACATAAAAAAATAAAATCTTTTAGTGGAAATATACAATACACATTGTCCATTACTTCAATGTTAGTTTTACCATGTTATTCTTAAACTGCCGTGAATATCTTTCTGTTTACACAGAAGAAAAAAGGTTAACCAAATATCAAGTAAATGCTTCTGCACATTTCAATGTGTGTTGGTTGTGTGTGTGATATGGTAAAATCACCTGTACAAGCTTGAAAAGTGTGGTGAGCTCGTGGCTGGTCTGAGAGACAAATTTCACATTTTCACATTTTCACCATCGAGGTAGGCGCAAGAGGTCCACTTCCACATACAATGTGCTAAAGCAGCTAGGCTTGAGAGGAAACGAGCTTAAATGGTCACTAAAAAACTGGGCAAAGCTGCTGAAAGAGCTTCGAGCTGGCTTTGGACCAGCGAAACGTTGTGGGGCATGGGCCTCGGTAGACTGGTCCCAGCCCCTAGTGGAAAAGAACTTTTCATCCCTATAAAACCAAAGTGTCCAATAAATGTCCGCCAGTGTCTCTCTGTCAAATCAAATGCCAAAGTCTAATAACTGTCTTATGAACCAACTGTAAGTCTTTCACTCTGGACGTGAAGGTAGATAGCTTATTTGCTACTGCAGCAACAATATAACACCAAATCTCACGATACCTGTCCCAAAGTCATCATTTCATCTTGTCCTTGTCAGAGAATCTGATAAGTGCAACAGGGAAAGATCCTGGCCTGGAGTCATGAACCAGGTCGACCCACCTTCCTAGACTGTATGGGAAGTAATGGGCCAAAACAATCGTCGACAAAGGATCTTTCTACTGACGAACGGTGGACCTCTGCTGTGAATGCTTTCCTGTGGTGTTCCTATTATTATTACAATAATACTGTGTATGAGAAACAATGGACCATGTGGGTTGTATAGTTTTGTGCATAACTGTAAACTCAGTTATTTATGCACTATGCAACTGACAGGTTACAGTGAAGTATGCAAACTGTACAATCTTTGTTTTAGTTATTCAAATTCCCAGCTAAACAACATTACTTTGCATCATTCATATATTTTAAATAAGCTGTTAAAAAAGTGACCTCAAAGATTAGTATTACATAAAGATTACTTAAGTACACACTTTTGCTACATAACAAGGCAGCATTAGACATCACATAGGTGACATATTCTTTATTTCACAAGGATAAAGCAACTTTCTTAGTTTCTTATCTTTTACCAATTTAAAGCAAAGATAAGTATTTTCTTTTATAACACTGAGCAATAATGTCCACATCATCAATGTGTTTTACAGCACAATCATTAAAACAAAAGAAATATAAAATGTTATTTATGCCTTATATAAAGTACTTTGAGTTATTTCAATATCCAGTATCTGAATTGAAAATGGTAGCATTTTAATTTAAAAACTGTATACAAAAGTGCTCACTAGGGGTAGACCATTAGGTAGATCAAGAAGATGGTGGAGTTAATATTCAGGTAGACCTATGAACTCTTAGAGTCGCCAAGTGGAAAGAGAAAACCAACCACAGAATAAAAGAAAGGACTTTATTTCCAAAGGGTCATAAGCTGGGCCTTACATTTGGCCTTCCAAACACTCATCCTTTGCACAGGATTTGTATTTCATCCATAAAGCATATTCTATCACATCAATATACACAACATGATTATAAAGTGGAAACACATATATAAATGCATACATACACTGATATAGAAAAATATATTAACTCAGATATGAACAGAAGTGGATGGTAACGGCACACAAAAATCTCAAGGGCTCAGAACGCTACAGAAGAAATAAAAACATTTATAAATATAAATTCTTACTTGCCCATCTTTGATATACTTTGCCTTATGCATCGCACTGATAAACATGCCTTTGGGATACCAACTGCAAGAAAACCGACATCAGTGGTTAAATGACATATTATGACACTGGTTAGATTACAAATTATGACACTTTAGTTAGATTACATAACTACAAGGGGAAAAAGGTTTACCTAAACTTGTATCTCAATGGTCCATTTGAACATTCAGGGGCTGGAAGACCCCCACACAGTGATACATAGCCAGTTACCTAGAATGTGGAAAGAGAGAAAAAGTAAACATGTTGAGCTTAAAAAAAATTACCAAATTGTCTTTTCTAGACTCTAAAATCGCACCAAGCCTCTTAGCAAGACATAACAATGTGCAATGCCACTTCCTAATGCATATAAACAGTACTCATTTGTGTTAAGTGTATAATTATAGTCCCTTCTTTATTTTATATTTTACTTTTGTTTCTTTATTGTAGTGACTGAATTCTGGTATCTATTTCAATGCTGAATTTAAAGTAGATAACTTATTAAACATCACTCTTTTGTTCTTGTTTTTTTTTCTTCCTTCAGTATAGACATTTGTGCAATGAACTCAACCGATTAAACATATTTAAAAATAAAAACGGCAAACTTTTCCCTTTAAAATTTTTTTTACAAGTTGTAAGTTGTTTCAATGTATTTCTGCAAGGAAACACATTTAACAGTTTTCACTTCAGACAATCCTGACATAACAGTCAACCTTATTATATCTCATAATTTATCTAGGAATGTTAAATCAACATAGATTTTTTTTTAAATTCAATTTCCTGTGTGGTCGTTTGAGTAACTGCATTAAAAATATAAGTTTTATTAGTGTTTTAATAAGCTTTATGGTCATTGTAGTGTTTTAAAAAAAATTCATAGAAAATTTTTAATATTTGTCAGTTTGGTATTTGAAACCACGCATATTTCTTATTAGTGCAACTATAAAATTATTATTTTTATCAATTTTATTAATAATCTAATCAGTCAGTTAGTCAACAGATCATTCTGACTATACATCAAACTCAGTTCATAAGTGTGTGGATCCCCTCTCCAGTAAATTTCACAGAGTACATCTTATTTCTCATACAATATTCAGTATATCATTCTGATGCATGGCTCATCTGTCCTCCACAGCAGCCTTATGACAAGCCTGTCAGCATGCTCAAGTACACCTGCAACCTTCATCATCATCATGTGCCCTGCAAACCTGCAACCTTACTTTTTGAATAATCTAAAAGAAAGCAGCGTAAGTGAATGTGTGCAAAGCCTAAACAATAGCAGAAAGTTTATAGCATTTAAAACACAGACATGTTGAACATGAAAGTATATGTGTTACGTTCCATACAATTCAAACAGTTACCTACAAAAGAATACTTATAATATATTTATTTTAAATTAATCTTTTCAAATGATGTGGAGTCCCAGGGTAAACCACTACATTAATTTCCCAAGATTAGGTTTATGACACCACACACAGCTAGAGGCATTGAGGTAACAACCTCAACAACAAAATTACTTCACATCAATCTTCAGATTAATGTTTTTAACATGGCTTCAGAAATAAAGGAAATGAACAAAAGATAACAAATCCTATTTGAAAATTTATCATGCTTACCTGTCCTCCCTGTTCTCTGACTGAGTCTATACACTTCATAGCCAGAAAATGATCAATACCTGGGTCCAAACCTACTTCACTTAAAATGGTGATGCCTGCAGCTTCAGCACTGAACATAAATTGCAAGAAACACATTTTCAGTAATTTTTACATTTTAGAGTAAGGTAAGAAAAGGATCCTTTTCCATGCCTTGATGTGTGTAGAATATATGGTGATAGCCAAAAATCTTTAATAGACAAATCAGCACTCAATGGATGTTGAACAGTCAGTTTTGCTTTTACATTCTATAACACTTCCTACTAGGCTAAGCGACCTGGGAACCCTGGTATATCTTTTAAAAATCATAAAAAGCAACTAGTTAAGGATTTCTGAATTTGTAAGTATTGATTTGAGAAGTGCGGACATTGCAGCCTATCTGTAAAATACAAGGTACCGACCACTCTTTTAACAATGACTGCAGAAGAAGAACAAGAAGAAGAATATAACAGCTTTGATTTTTGTTTTTATCTTTAACCTTTTTTTTTTTTTTTTTTTTGTAAATGCTATTTAAAAAAAAAAAAACATGGGCCACAAACCTTTAGGAATTTGTGGAAATCCTTAAAAAAAAAACCATATTACACAGGTTGCTAATAAATTGTTTAAATATTTATGTATCTACATTTGTTTCTCTCAAAATATGCAAAGCTTTATAAAAAAAGTAATAAATAAAGCATTAAATTGAATGCATTCCCCAATGTGAATATATAAAAAACAAAAATGTATAAGGTAATAAACGCCATGAAGCAGTGACCTCTATCCTCAACGGAATTAACTACACTCTTAAAGAACAGGTCACTGCAGACTAGCCATTTATCGGCATTTAGGAGACTTTGTCACAATCGAAAGTGACTAGATTTAGTCCTCTTGTGGCAACAAGGTTAAATCTTGTATTTATCAGTCATTAAAAACTCTGTAACTTGTATTTACAAAACATCAACAGCTGCAATATTTTTGCATCATCATCATCATCCTGTGCCCATTATACATCCCATAGGGCCTGCATCCACTCCAATCTGTCCTGTACAATCTTTCGATATCATGGATGGAATTCAGTTAATCATCTTCACTCTCTCTCTCTCTCTTTATCATTTCTTCTTCTTCTTCGTGTTCACGTGCTATATACGGTGGCAGAAAATTTGAGTGGTTCGTCCACTTCTGGACTTTAGTTCTGTTCCAGAAACTGAGTGTTGCATACACATCTGTTTCACAGGTCTGACTCATCTGCATATCTGCATGCAGACTGTTGGTTTCTTGCCTCTCAGGTAGATATACTCTGACTTCAAAGGAAGCTTCCAGTTAGTTGACTCTTAAGACATGCTTTTGGGCAGGCAGTGGGTCTATTCTTGTTTTCCCCACAATGGGGCCCCGGAACCCACACTAAGATCTTCATCATTTGTTTTAGGGTTTCTTTTGGGATTCTTTGTTTTCTCACATCATAAATTTCCTATTTCAGTACTAGTTTGTGATTCTCTGTTCACTTCACCTCACCGTCTTCTTTATCTTTACTGTTAAAAAAAGCAGCTGCGCAGACAATTCTGTTATTTCTTCACCTTTCTTCAGTTCATCCCATTTAAATATTGTCATTGTAGAAGTAAAAAAAAAAAGTAAAGATTCCTTTTCACGCCTTTAGGACTATTGGGTACATGGGAAGATTGCCCATATTTTTACAGTCCATCGGCATTCGGCACTAGGTGGGTAATGTGGTCAGCATTACGCTAGCCGTCTTTACTTCCCCATGACAGCCATTCTGGTACCCATTTTAGACTGGGTCGACCTGCGATGCCCAATACCATGATAAAAATCCACGCAGCCAGCAGTGGGTTTTGATCACGGTATGATGGAATTACGAGTTGGACTTGCAACACCTAAGCCAGGGGCGCTGCATAAATACTGTCATACATAAATCATAAGTTTACCTAGCACTGACAGCTCTGGTATAATCATTTTCATAGCTTGCAAGTACCAGACTTTTCCTACATTCAATACAGCATCGAGTCACTTCAGGATGGAGATGAGCAGGAATAATGCTGCAGGAGTTTAGCAACAATAATGTTTAGATTATTACAAAAGAATACACACATAAAATTTATCTGTCATGCTTTTAGTATTAGTGGTTATCTTCAAGTACAAAGTTTAAAGTTAGGAGGATATACTTCAGTTCACTTGGTTTTAATCACTTATGGCACAGTTTCTCACCATAAAATGATTAATCATCTGCCAGGAGCATCACATGAAGCCTGAACTCCATGGCTCCAGTGATGATCTCCATTTAACTCATGAACCAAATGTCACAGACTGTGAAATGAACCTATGACCTTCGAGAAGCGAAGAAAATGGCTTAGCAACTTTCCCATGGAGGTTATCTTCAAAGAGATGAAAACATGTATAGTTTTACTCCCTCTACCCCTCAAATAATAAACAAGAGAGGTATTTAATAATAGAAGAAATTTTTCAATTAGCATCATTTTAAAAATTTCATACTTCTTCTTCTTCACATTCACAGACTGTAAACTCTGGTGCAAAGTTCTCGTTGTGCATCCATTTCTGGGGTTTGTCGATTTGTTCCAGAACTTGAGTTTTGTGTGCAGATCCATTTTACACATCTGGCTTATTTATATGCAGACTATTGATTACTCACCTCTGAAGGTAGATGTACTCTTGACTTTGAAGGAAACACCCCTTATCAGTCACAATATATGATGTGCTTATTAAATGGCAAACTATTGAAAGCAAAATTGTCTAGTAAAATCACAAACAGCCAAAAAGAAAAATGCTTTGATTGATACTGCAATGTCTGTAAAGGATATGCAACTAACTTTGAAAATTAGCTTTTTTCCCCCCTCAGTATGGGACCCAGAACCCACATGGGCAAAAATTATAATACAAACATTAAAGATGAGGCATCTCTAATACACAAGCACAGGAGTGGTTGAAAAGGTTGAGGAAACCATAGAGGACTTGGGCAATGGAACAGCGGTGGGGTTCAGTGTGTGAGGAAATATTCAGGACACTATTGGTCAACTCTTAGGACATGTTTGTTACGTAGGCAGTTTGTATATTCTTGCTTTTACTGAACCTCGGAACCCACATACAAAGCTGGCTATCTCATCCTGTAGATAATTTAAATTTAGGCTGCTAAATCCAGCTAATCATGAACAAGTCAATAAATGACTTGGTGTAAGCCGGTTGAAGGCTCTTGTTTCACTTACAAAGTTTCCAGGTTTAACTAATGTACCAATCAAAACACTGTTGATTAAGTACAATGCTGGGAGTGTTTTACTCTGGATTATTCACCTGTATAAAGCTAAATTTTGTAGAGTATTTTATTTTTAAACAAGGAACTCAGGGATGCAATTTTTATCTGTATTGTTGTTGCCTGATTTCATTTGTGTGCAGTTATGTTTTAAAATGTTTTCTGGTTATGTTGCTCCCAGAGATAACATAACTGACCCCTGTGTTAAACCGTTATGCAAATTCAACACGATGTTTACCTGATGATTATATCATGCTGGCTGAAAAGATCCTTAAGTCTGCTACTCTCTTGCGCAACATCTAGAAGAATAATGCTGGCAGATGGACAGAGAGAAGCCATGTGATCCAAGTCATTCTGTACTGCTGAAACTGTATTAAAAAAAAAGATGGAATACAGTTATAATACAGTTTAATCACTTTAATAAGTTAAGACTAATTTTGCTGTCTAGCAGATTTTTAAAATGTAATTTACTTTCTAAAACAGTAATGCCTTAATATGCTGAATTTGGAAAAGAAATATTTCTCTGTATTCCTGATTTCACCACTACGGTCTCAAGTCCAGAGGAGAAAAGAATAGGGTTGGGCATAAGGCCAGCTTCTCTACCCTGTAAAAAAAACACCAAGACAATCCTGCTACAGTTAAGAAACTTGCAGAAAGGAAGCCAAAATATTGCAAAAGATAGATTGGATTGGAGGAAGACTGTGAGTCCTGTATGGTGTATAAAAAGCATCGCTGGATAATCTTCTTCTTCTTCATGTTTGCCAGCAGAAAAGTTTTCTGTTTGTTGATCAACTTCTTGATGCTAGTTTCATTCCAGAACTTCAGTTTTGCATGCACATCCATTTTACCGACCTGGATTATTCATAGTAAGCTGTTGGTTCTTCGCCTCATAGGCAGAGGCACTCTGACTTCAAAGGAAACATTTGACTTTTATGACATGCTTGTAGTTCCCGTGTGGGTTCCAGGGGCCCTATTGTGGGAAAAACAAGAATAGACCCACTGCCTACCCAAAAGCAGGTCGTAAGAGTCGACTAATTAGGAGCTTTCTTCAAAGTCAGACTGTATCTGCCTGAGAGGCAAGGAACCAGCAGTCTGCATACAAATGAGTCAGATATGTAAAATGGATGCACATGCAACACTCAGGTTCTGGAACATGACCGCAGTACAGAAGTGGATGAACAACCAGAACTTTTCACCAGAGTTTACAGCTGGTGAACTCGAAGAAGAAGAAGATGACGTGCAGTGGGTCTGTTCTTTTTCCCACACAAAATGGAGTCTTGGAACACACATAAGGAAGCTGGATAATGATAATGATTTTTGGTTACCATACAGCTTGCCTAGTGTTGATAGGTTTGAATCCTCATCAAGACAGATTTTCTAAAACTGACTTGGGCTCCCATGTCATCCCAGTCTCAAATGCTTGCAAGGAATATTCTAGGAATTAAAACTGACAAGTGTGATTCCAGTACTAACCTATGGATGCGAGAGCTGGAAATCAACGAAAACCCTAGACACAAAATTAGACAGTTTTGAAAATAAATGCCTTAGAAGAATACTAAATTTCAAATGGTCAGATTTCCGAACAAATACACAAATAAGGCAAGAATCCAGGCAAGAGTATGTGTCTAATTTTATACGAAAACGCCGCTGGAAATATGTCGGCCACACCCTTAGAATGGATAAATCAAGACTTCCTTACCAAGCCCTCATTTGGACACCACAGGGGAAAAGATCTCGTGGAAGACCAAGGGAAACCCTACGTAGAACTATCATCAGGGAAGGCTCGCTCATGGGCCACTCAAACATCCAAGACCTACAACGGATTGCAATGAACCGTCATGCATGGAGAGTCATGACCTCTGCCCTATGTGCCGCACTCGACACAAGAGGAAAGACTAACTAAGTGTGATATTTCCTATGCCAGCCATTAGGTGCCAGTTAGTCAACAGAAATTAGAAGGCTAGAATCATATGCCTTTCACTTACTTACACATGTCATAGTAAAAGGTAAACGACCCTTTTCCACACCTTCAGGCATATTAGGTAGATAGGGTTAGACCTATATAGTACTGATCAAACTACACTTAGTGGGTGGTCAGCATCATCAACTTCCCAGGACTGTACCTGGTACCCACTCAAGGCTGGGTCAATCTGGAAGCCATGTCACAGTAGACGGTTTAAGAAATAAAATATCAAGTGTTACAGACACATTCAATGAATTTTGCACTTAGAGTATAAAATGCATGTATTTTAGAAAAGAAATAAATAAATACTCAGATTACCAAGAACCATGCTCACCAGCTGTGACAACATTAAAAGTCACCACATACATTTTCATAAAGACTGGAAGTAAGCATATCTATTTTTGACACATAACAGTAGGTATATAATTTTATATGATTGAGAAATATATATAATTACTAGGTGACAGTAGTATCTGTGCTTTTATAAATCATGCAAAGTTTTTTTGAAAGTGTGATAATTAAAAAACAGACCACTATTTTCTTAACCTTAATAAGCAAAAAGAAAGAAAAATTAAGTACAACTGAAGTTAATAGCATTATCTTGGGACAAGTAAAGATATTTAAGTTTCTAGACACATAGAGTTAATGGAGGAGCATGGCATGGAGGGGTGTCAGCACATGAAGTGATGCATGCTATTGGAAACTGCAGACTGTGAAGAAGCATAATATCCTGTGGCAGTCAGCATGGAATTTGATGATGATGATGATTCTAGGTATGTAATTTGTACAGAACAATATCAAGCTGCTAAACGTTAGTCCCCCATAAAGTTCCTGGTATTTATTTCAGGTTGGATCAATCAAGGATCCCTCTTTCCAATTTAAAAACAAAAACACCATCACCTCATTCAGTAAACTTGTGTCTTACAGGCTGAAAAAAATCAGGTGCTTTTTGTGTGTGTGCAGTTGTTAATGGGAAGACAGAAGTGATGGTGGTATCAAAGAAACAAATTATTCCTAAATGTGTAATAAAAGTCAATGGTGTTATTTTAGCACAAGTACAGAAATTTAAGTATCTGGGCACATGGATAACATCAGATGGAAGATGCATAACTGAAATAAGAAACATAATTGAACAGGCAAAAACTGCATTTTCTAAAATGAAAAACATCTTGCGCAATATATCCTTGTCATTGAGAGTTAGAAAAAGAATTCTTGCTTGCTACATACATCCAGTTTTAACATATGGATGTGAATCCTGGACAATCGGTAGGCAGGCCAAACAATTTTTAGAGGCCTCAGAGATGTGGTTTTACAGAAGAATGCTTAGAATACCTTGGACAGCCAAAAAGAGCAACCAAGAGGTTTTGAAAGAGGCGGGAGCCCGAAGACAACTTATCACAGACATCAGAAGGAGACAGTCATCATTTTTCGGCCATGTTATGAGAAGAGGGAAAATAGAACATGTTGTGACCACTGGAAAGATCTGTGGAAAAAGGGATAGAGGAAGACAACGAGAGAAGATGCTTGACAGTCTTGTTGCATGGCATGGAGGTGTGTCGGCACACGAACTGATACATGCTGCAGGAGATAGCAGATTATGGAGAGGCATGATCACCCACGCCAGTCGGCAAGGCACCTGATGATGATGATGCAGTTGTTTCTTTTGTCTGGTCTTGTGTACGGTAACTGTGTTATTTCTACTGTTTTGTAGATGTAGTTAGCAGAGTTTTTAACACAAGACCACCAGGTCAAAAAGCAACACATGTTAGCTACATATTCACTCTTAAAGTCCCAGGCAGCAAATTTGTCTTCTTCTTCTTAGCGTTCACCAGCTGTAAACTCCGGCAGAAGGTTCTGTTTGTTCATCCACTTCTGGACTGCAGACCCGTTTCAGAACCGAAGTGTTGCGTGTGCATCCCTTTTACAGATCTGACTCATTTGTATGCAGACTGCTGGTTCCTTGCCTCTCAGGCAGATGCACTCGGACTTCGAAGGAACTTCTTACTGTTTACTGTTTACTTCCGGCAGGAAGTTCTGGTTGTTCAACAACTTCTGGACATTAGTCTTGCTCCAGAACCTGAGTTTTGTGTGCACATTCATTTGACAGATTTTGCTCAATTATATGCAGACTGTTGGTTCCTTGCCTCTCAGGCAGATGTATTCTGACTTCAAAGGAAACGGCCATAATTAGTTGCCTCCTACGACATGCTTGTCAGGGGAGCAGTAGGTCTATACTCTCTCTTCCCCCAAAATGGGGCTCCGGAACCCATATGGAGAAGTTTAAATAATAACTAAATTAATCAGAATTAATCAAGTTTTCATTTGTAATAGAACAAATTAATGTAAGAACAACAAAAAAAAAGAAAAACATTGAAGAAAAACATGTGAAATTACCAATAACCACATCATGAGTTCTTGGTACTGAATGAGTTCACTTCAACAGGGAATAAAAAAGTTAATGAACAACCACATTTCTGTATATTTTAACTTACCAACTGTGACTCTGTAATTGTTTCTCAATAAATAATCTACACAGGGTCCAGAAACCATTCCGGCACCAAGCACAAGAATATTTTTGGACATTTTATTTTCTGTTCCCTTGATCAGCACTAATTGTTGGCTAAGGCCAAAAGTTCCCAAATAATGTCACTGTACTGAACAGAATGCCAAGGAACTAAGCCCCGCTTTTTATCACTGAGATAAGTGTTTCAACAACTTGGTGAAGTAATGCAACCTCTGCTTAAACAGTCAACAACACATCAGTCCGTATATGATTAGTGTGTAATCAATTATAACTGAAGAAATACAGTTAAGTGCGCCTATGTTGGCTTTAGGACTGCTTCAAGTTTAGCTTCAAAACTGATGTGTCTTGACATCAGTATCAGATCTGTAATTTATCTGTATTAAGAAATAGAAAGAAACATGGACAATGAATAAACAAAGTTTAGATAAAACTAAAGCTTTAAAAATAGTGCAAAAAATATGGAGGGAAAGAAATCAAATTAAGCAGTCCTCATTGAGAGAGATGAAAGTCGTAAACTCAACAGAACAAGTGAACATGAACAGTCTGTTTATTTTTTGTTTGACATGAAAAGAAATGGACTTGAGAACTTGGTAACAACTGACAAGATTGACGGAAAGAGAGCAAGAGTAAGGCAAACAGATAAATCCCTGAATGACCTGGCCACATGGATGGGGTGAAACAAAAACATTCACCTGTTCCATGATTATGGTGATTTTGTGAGACAGCCTACACTTACCAGCATGGTACGTGATGATGATGAAGCATGTAGGAGGAAGACAGAATTACATGTGGATGGATGAAAGCAAGAGATGACCTAGACAGGGGTGCATCAAGAAGACACAAGACAGAGGGTGTTAGAGACTTATACTACACTTGACTTTCAGTTCTGCGGTGTAGGTGCAGAAAATGCATTGTTGGCACCTTTCCATATTTCCAGACGATAGTTTCTATACTGTGCTGCTACAGGGAGGCACAGGATTAACAGCCGATGGTGATGGCGAGTGTGACTAGCAAGACCCACTCACTGCACAGAGTAAGCCTGTGCAGTATTGTGTAGACCACGTGTTGCCATTGAGCCCCTCTCTTAGCTTGACCTGTTAACTCCAATGAAAACCTAACACCAATCCATTAGGAACATAGCTTGCTAAAGAAGCTCCAAGATCAGAAGAGCAGTGCTCCTTCTATCCGTCTTTTAGAGCTTATCTCCTAGACTATGTGCCACCACATGACTCCGTATCCCGTTCTAGACTGATGGAAATAGGGGTGCAGCCTGGAGCTGCAAGAAATGAACATTTCACTAATGGGACAAGACGTTTCATTAACTAAAGTAGAACTGGCGCCTTTAGTCATATTACACTTGTCGAGCTTTTGAGGAGGAGATCGGTGCACCTATGGATCTGTCCAGAGTGCTGTGATGATAATCCTTTCTAATCACTAATCACTATGTGCCACCCAAGTCTAAGGGCCTTGTCTGCCCTACCATAACATTAAGTTTTCAGGCTGCATTTCTGCTTCCTAGAATAAGGCTGGTATCCTCTCCAGTGTGCTCCTCCACCCAAAGCCGTCGGCGCAGTTGAGATGTCAGGTTTGGTGTACACCAACCACCCATCACTTGGCATTAACAGAGAATAGGCAGTAGTGAATACTGTTATACAGCAGCTCCATCACATTTTACCAAGTCCTGATTGTCAGCTGATAGTGAAAAAAATAAATAAATAAAACTTTCAAACAGCTGGAAGTCTTATTCTGTTTTCTCAATCGTTTTTATTTCTATCTTGTTCATTTTAATAAGTTTAGGTTGTAATTAAGGCCTTTCCTTAAATATATATATTTTTTTAAAATTTATTAGTAAGGAGTTGCGGTGACCTTCAAAAATGATCAGATGCTCCTATTATGATCAAGAAAAACTATCCAGATAAACTATCGCAGTTACATGCTTACACAAATGGATCAGAAACCAGTGCAGTTAAAAATGGGGTTGCTGGTGTCTTTATCATTTACCCAGATAACCACTGCTACACAAAGTATTTTCCCCACAATAGAGCCACGGAACCCATACAGGAACTATAAGCATGTCATAAAAATCAACTAATTAGAGATGTTTCCTTCAAAGTCAGAGTGCCTCTGCCTATGAGGCAAAGAACCAAAAGTATATTATGAATAATCCAGATCTGTGAAATGGATGTGCATGCAAAACTGAAGTTCTGGAACGAAACTAGTGTCAAGAAGTTGATCAACAACCAGAACTTTCTGCTGGAGAACATGAAGAAGAAGATTATCCAGCGGTGCCTTTCATACACCATACAGAACTCGAAGTGTATTCCTCCAATTCAATCTATTTTTTGCAATATTTTGGCTTCTTTTCTGCAAGTTTTTTTTTTTACTGTAGTAGGAATTTTTTTTTTAAAAACAGGGTAGAGAAGCTGGCCTCACGCCCAACCCTCCTCTTTTCTCCTCTGGAGACCGTAGTGGTGGAATCAAGAATACAGAGAAATATTTCTTTTCAACATTTAGCATATTAAGGCATTTCTAGTAGATTCTGTTCCAACTACACAGCAGATATCCTAGCACTAGAGAAAGCTGCCGAAATATTACACAACACCAGTTCTGACTGCCACCAAGTGGTCATCTTAACAGAGGCGATATCAGTGCTCCAAGCTCTCAAGAGTGGTAAATTCCCTCACCTGAGATCTGAACTAGACAATGTGGCTGCCTAAAAGTGTACTGTAGTCCATTGGGTGCCATCCCACTGTGGTATACCAGGAAATAAAACGGCGGATAAACTTGCCAAGAAAGGGGCAGAATGTGAACAGGAAGAGAATGCAGTAACACACTATGAGAAGAAAAGGATCCTGCAGTCTATTAGAAGTGAAAAAAATGTGGCCAGAGATGACTACCACTTACTTGACCGGTATGGAATGGTCACTATTCTACGCCTTAGGACAGGACATTAAAAAAAAACATAATAAGCATATGCACAGGCTTTGTCTAAGTAGTTCACCATTGTAGCTGTGTGTGCAGATTAAAGAACATGTCTGGCAAGACTGTTGCTTGTACAGCCCATTAAGAAGGGAATACTGGCCCATTGATTCAACACTGTACTCAAATTTGTATGGAACTAAAAAGAGAACTCCTAAAAACAGTCAAGTTTATCACAAGAACCTGTCTGTCAGTGAAAATGAGAAAGCGCACACAAGACGAAGAGGAAGGAATTGTGGTAAGGTATTAACTGATGCACTCATATGTTTGTCTAGTTGTCCTAAAGGTCCTAAAGGTCAAATGCCAATTTTATCATAAGTCATACATTGTCGAAAGATAACCAGTGATTGACTTTGTCAATCTTCACTTTCTTATAGTTTTTGCTGTGTGGCATTGGCCATCATCTCTGTCTCATGTACTACCAATTATTTGTAACATACGAGATGTTTCTCCAGGTCATGATGCTAAAACATCTTACATCTTTTCTCTTGGCTCTTCCTGTTTTTTCCCCCCTTAAAATCTTCTGTTGTTACTAGGCACTCCAGATTTCCCCTTTTCTTGATGTACCTCAATACTGTGGACTGTCTTCTTCTAGATTTAATTTGATTTGATTTGATTCAAGAACCGACATCACAGCACTCGGGGCATTCCCAAAAGTGCTCCGTCCCCATCTTCAGCAGCCAGCGAAGAGTTCCGATACTAATGGTGCCAGTAGCATTCTGACTAAATGTCCGTCTTGCCTTTCCTCTGAGCCTTGAGCATCTGCCAGAACCTCGTGTCACTCCCCGCTGCATCAATCTCACCAGACTGTGGTGATTCATCTGCTCCTCCGAACTGTACATGCTCTCCCACAAGGCACTAACCACCTCTGCCTTATCATGTATCAGTATTCCACCAAGTTGTGCAGAGCCAGCCAGTCTGTCCGCCTGTTCATTTCCCAACACACCAGCACACCCGGTGAAAAAATCCAGACAATACTCCTCACCTGTGTCCTCCGCAGCGAAGCATGCCACTCTGCATGAAGCATACCTGTTCTGATCTTCTTCAGCATGCTTTCTGAATCAGTTACAATCACGATGTGTCTTCTTCTAATGCGAGTAAATATTTCTCAAGGTGGTTAATTTTTCTTGCAACAGCTTGTATCAATATAGCTCTTAAAAACATTCTTTCTCACCTCAGTTCACAAAGACAAAGCCTATAAAATATTCTTCAACTGATTACATTATTCAGGAAAATTTCAGCAACCATAAAATTGTAAAATAAATAACTATATTAGAAAAAACAAACTCTTGACCAACATATTAAATGAGCTTTGTCTTCAACAACAATTGATAGGAAGGTCTCATTCATTTATAAAACATATAACACCTGTTTCAATCTACATCTTCAAACCAAAGCAGTCTAAAATCTGTGGAAGAATGCATTAAAGAAAATATCATTTTAACTAAATAAAGCAAATTCTTTATTTTATTCAACACAACTACACACAATAATATTACTATAATAAAATATGTAAACAGCATCACAAGAGTCAAATATATTAAAAGAATGAACAATCCTTATGGAAATGCACCATACAAGCAAAACACATAAAGTTAATTAATTATTTTTTTTCACACACTCATAATTAAATTGTGACTGTCACTCAAAGTAAAGACATGCCTTCATTTATGTCCATAGTATCAATCCCTGAAATAACTAAAGAGCCTAGGCTCTGCATAACAGAAACACATTCGACAGCTGTTTTCCATGCAGAAATTTTAGATTTGAAATTGTCATACATTTTATTTTCAGATGACGGATAAGAAGAATTCATATTTTCAGAATTATTAGTGACAGTGCCTGTAGATGAAGCATTTAACTTAAAAGATAGGTCTGGTGCTTTAAACATATCTAGTTCTTTACTGACACTTTGTTTCATTTGATTCCCAGTGACATTTTTAAAACTGTCATTGCTTGTCTGTGAATCAACACATGCTGTGATTTCACAGGGAAGATGATATATTTTTGAACAGCAGTTCTGTTCAGGATAATCTACAGCATTTCTACACTGTGTTGTTAATACAGAATTTATTTCTGGGTCATTTCCTTTTTGTATGTGTTCTTCTGTAGAAAACTTGGTATTGTGTATAACTGTTCGATAATAATCCTGAAAAATATCTGCTACTGCCTCCAGAATCACAGACTGCACCATGGGCTGATTATCTGAAAGGGAAAAATTATAACTATAATGTTTGACAGAATCTCTGCACATATCAAAAGATCATTTGTACAGCCTCAAATCAAAGATCTGAACAGGCATCACTACACTCCTGACAATCACACCCATGTTTAGTTTCTCATAACAGAGATAGGCTCTCCTGTGAGAGCACACCTGTTACACACATAAAGGGTGATTATTTTTTTTAGCTAGCAAAATTATTTCAACATTAAAAATCCTGTATGTGTGTGTGTGTGTATGTGCACGCATGTGTATGCATGTGTGTGCACATGTGTATGTGTGCATCTGTGTATGTGTGCATCTGTGTATGTCTGCATCTGTGTATTTGTGCATCTGTGTGTGCATCTGTGTATGTGTGTGTATGTGTGCATCTGTGTGTGTGTGCATGTGTGTGTGTGTGTGTGTGCACATGTGTGTGTATGTGTGTGTGTGTATGTGTGCATCTGTGTGTGTGTGTATGTGTGTGTGTGCATTTGTGTGTGTGTGTGTGTGTGCGTGTGTGTGTGTGTGTGTGTGTGTGCGGGAGGGTGGAGTGTTCAAAATAAAAATTCACAATCTGAAGTCAAGGAAGCTCTGGTAGAGAATTCTAGAAACACCAAGAATCAAATGCATTACATTTAGGATCCACTGTACAAACAAATTAATGCAGTCCAGGTGATACATTTAGCTCCAGATTGAACACTTTAATCACTCCTCTTCTCCATACTTAGCAAATGTACCACAAGCTATTTTCCAACATAGAAATAGTTCAACTAAGAATTTTTTTTTCAAATAAACATACTTTATAACATTAAGCTACAAGCTGTTATCCTTTTAAGGACACTGCACAAACAACTGCTGCATTTGGTTTTCTACTAGGCCATTTTGCATTAAGTAGTTGCCATTGTTTTCTGAATAGTCAGTTCTTGATACCATTATCAAATCAATGCAAAGCAGTCTGCTGTTTAATCGCTTACAGCTCGAATCAAACCAGGTACCTCATAACTATAGTGTGACTGCAACGCCTAAGCCACAGATGGTGACTTTTTTGTTGTTGTTGTGGACATTTAAAATAAATTCAAATATTAGTAAAACAAATTCAAATACAACTGATATAAATGAGCAACAACAAAGAACTGTACATAAGCATGACTAAAAAGTGCATTAAAACATAGTTAGCTTATTAAACAACAAAGCTGTTGTCATTAAATAAATGCTTACCAAACATACATTCAGATTTGTAAGTAATTCTTTTTGCACACCAAATCTCAGTTTTCCCTTGGCCTGGTAATATTTTTGTGTCTGTCTGCAAATTTGCTATACTATGCAGACATTTCCAAAGCCTCTCCTCTATCAGATGAGCAGACATGGAATTTGAGCAGTGAATTATGGCAGTCTAGAGACGAAATTAAATGAAGAAAAATGTGATTATGCATCAAAAGACATGCAAACAAGAAAATACAGTATGAGTTTTTGTGATTTTTAGTTTTTATCCAATGTGCTTGGGTACCCTGATAACATCAAATGGAAGACATATTAAAAAAGTTAAATGTAGAACAGCTCAAGCAAATACAACATTTTACAAAATGAAGAATATTTTATGCAATCTTCCTTTGTCAATTGAAAGGAAAAAGATAATTCTTAAAAGCTATTTAAATCCCATCTTGATATATGGAAGTGCATCATGGACAGTTGGTAAATTAGGGAAAACTGTGGAGGTGTGTTTTTATAGACGAATGATGAGAATACCTGCACAGATAAAAAGAGTAATACAGATGTCTTGAAAGAAACTGACACATAAGGAGAACTGCCCACAATCTACATTCTTTGGTCAAGTGATGAGAAGGAGAAAACTGGAGTGTATTGTGACAGTAGAAAAGTTGAAGGGGAGGAGAAAAGATGCTGGACAGACTGACATCATGGCATGGAGGATCATCTGTATCAGAGTTGACTGAAAGTACACAAGACAGAAGATTGTGGATAGACATGACTACCAATACTGTGCATGGACTTTAAGAAGAAGATCCAATAAGTTATTAATTTCTTAACTTGTATCATGCCAGTTAATCATTATCATCATTCTGGTATGCTGTTAAATGTCACATAGGACTCACAGACTATTTCTCCATTCCATTCTATCTTGTGCTGTCCTTCGATATTGTGCTCGGAATTCAGCCCGGCACCTTTGGTCTCCCTCAGCAATGTCTGTCGCAGGGTATGTCACCATTTTATAAATATGGAGTTGTGCCAAAATAATTTTGAGTGCCACACATCAAATGATACATGCTTGCATGTGGACCAGAAGCAATGATTTTAGCACCCTTTTTGTTTTTTCAAGTATCCAGACATGGTGAGACTGATTTATCCAGGTGTAAGCAAAAAATCTGGATGACACTTAACATGTAGGTGGAAAGGATAAATGACCTATAAATCAGTCTGTCTCTGGCACCTTAAGCACAGGAACTCTTCACTGAAGAAAGAATTAAACCATACATGGGAACATCCAAAGTGTAGTGGAGTTCAGTGATATTGATTCTTGAATAATTATTTTATTTATTCGAAGTCAAGTTGGTCCGGAGAGAACAGTTATGGAATGTGCAGTTTCCAGAAAATGAGGCAGAGGTCAAATACTGTGAAGTTGGATACAGGACATTGAAGATGTATTGACTATGAAAGCATATAGGGCTGGAGAACTGGCTAGAGAAAGAGAAACTTTCAGGCATGCTGTGAAGAACAGGTTAATTGAATGACTGATTCAAGATAATGTTTTTCCATTATAAATTTAAATTGAAGATGGTAATATCATGGCTTATCTTGAATATCTTGTGGAGGGATGTACAGTGTAACATCACAATGCGAATAATGTATTTATTTCAGTGAGAATGATTCATTTCTGTGCTTCATTTTATGTAAATTTAAATCTGTAGTAATTCCCCTGACAAAATACAGGGAAATATGCCACATAATAAATTGTGCAATGTATTGTTTGTATTTGAACAGCCTTAAAAGTCTATGGTTAAGCACCAGCAAGGAGATAAAAATTAGAATTTTGAGAGCATGCATCTTCCCTGTGGCTACATACGGATGTGAGTCGTGGACTATCTCTCAGTCCTTAAGAAAGAGAATAGGGGCTTTTGAGCTGAAATGCTATAGAAAGATTCTCAGAATATCTTGGACAAAGAGGAGGAGAAATATTGACATCTTAAAAGATCTGAACATCAAGGAAGACTGGCTAATAAACGGCGTCCTTTCTCGGAAGCTGAAATATTTTGGTCATATCAAGCGCCACAACGGATTGGAAACAACTATAGCAGAAGGCATGGTACCAGGAAGCAGGGGCCGACCGACACGAAGATGGGCACAGGATATAAGTGACTCCTTGAGTATGAAAGTATATGAGGCAGGAGAACTGGCGAGAGACCGAGTTTCTTTCATGCAGACTGTGATGAGAGCGACGTTCTGCAAAGGACCTGCTACATGATGATGATGATTGTTTGTATTTGCATTATTTATATTCATTTATTGTATCAGATAGTATTGCAGTGCCAATAAATGTGTTGCAATGAAATTACAGATCATGAAAAGCAAAAACTGTACCTGGACATCTGGGGTTCTGGTTATGACAACAAAATGGCTACCAGTGTCCTGTATATGGTCCATCCAAGTTGTTGACAATGGCTGTAAGCTAATGGTGCATATGTTTTCCTATATATAAAGGAACCAAATAAATATCTTGATCCATAAAGTCAAACTGTTATTCGTCTAATGTTAATATGATTATTCAATATTATTTTATAAAATAATGCTGAGATAATACACATCATTAGAGACATTCACCAATGCTGGGGGGAGCGGGAAAATCTCAACACCATAGTTGTTACATTATACTCATATTCCATTTTCCCCTTCAGATGCTGTACACAAAGAATATAGAATGTCTTCTCATGGTATAATTACCAGTTCTTTGTGACATGAAATCTAACAGATAACGTTATCCTGAAACATGAAAAAATGTACTCACTTCATTTGCCAGTGATAAGTATGTCACTATGTCCACTCTGTGCAGATAACTCAACACACTAAGTGTGTGATAGCTGATGTTGGTCAGCAACAACACTTCTCCTTCGCACATGTCTATAAGTACACTACTGGCTTGACCTTTCACAAGAAGTAACTTCACATTCAGCTAACAAAAAGAGGAAAACAAAGAATATATACTGCACAAATTACTGTCCAGCATATTTCCATATATTTTGTAAGCTGTCACACAAAATGTTTACATCAAACTGTCACAATCAATCAGCAGGTCTGTTACAGAATGTCGCTCTTGTTACTGTACATCTAAACATTTCTCTTTCACTAGCTTATTCTTTAGCCATACGTGCTTTCATAGCAAATGCGTCTTTAATGTCTTGTATCCATCTTCACGGAGGCATGCCTCTGTCTTGTGTTCCAGCTATCTTTTAGATAGCCAGGGTAAGTAAGTATCTTGCTCTGTGATGCTACTGCTAACAGCAGATAGCACTGCAGAGGTATCCGCTTATCTCGGCAGATGCTCCATCCCCAGGACTGTGTTAGCTGCATTGGGGTGCATTTAAATCCTCTACTACATGCAGGCAGCTGGTATTTATCATATTTATAAAAAAAAAAAAAAGAGGCCAGGTTGGCATTTCCAGTGCTCTCTGGATACTTCTGGAGGACTATAAGGAAGCACAAAACTGATTCCCTTCCACTGAAATACACAGATCACAACAAGAAAACACCATTTTGAAATATATAAACTTAGAAAAAACTATGAGCTTAAACAGTTATGTCACATTATGTTATATAATCTAACAGAATTAATATGGTATGACCATGCTGAAAGAAATGAAGTTTGATAGTAAGACAAAAAAGAAATTTTGCTGATGAAGAAAAGGGAAACAGCTAAAGAACATGGAAAAACTTTCCTTTCAAGGTAGAATGCAGAAGACGAAGGTACTGTTCATTGGCACCTTTCTGTCTTTCCAGACAATAGTGTTATATTGTTCTTTGAGGATATAAGGGACTTACAGCCTATGGCGATTGCGAATGTGGCTAGCAAGACCCGCGTGCATTAAGACAAGTCTTCCATTATTATAGTATGAGATTTCAGGACTGTTGTTGCCAATATTTGTGCTTAGTGTTTCTTCTCAGATGCTCAGCTCTTCTATTTTCTGCAATCATTTCTTCCTTCATTCTCAATGCCTTCCTGACGTGCTCCCTCCATGCAACATAATCCATGAGAGTCACATCATGCAATATTATTTAAAAAAGAAAAGAAAATGTGACGACATTTAGTCAATGAAGACTGACAGTAAAACAAAGAAAGAATATACTATCTGAACTCAAGACACATGATCAGAATTTTGTGGAACTAGATATGAAGAAACTAAATATCAAGGACTGGTGCAGCATCATTTGGGATAGACATAGATAGAAACATATTATGGCTGCTGCAAAGAAACATAAAGCTGACAGCTGGAAACAAAAAGAAGAAAGAAAATATTTTGCTGCAGAATAAAACAGTAAAATTTTAGGAATATTTAATTATCAACACTAGTTAACATCTTCTGATTTATGTATAAAGGTTTTATTTATTTCCTAAAACAACGCTAGGCTTACTTTTTTGTCTCTGAAAGAAATCATTGTCACAAAACAGGTAATTACCTTTTTGAGGATACAAAGCATGTTTTTACACCACATCCTTTCATCAGCTTTGTCAGTTCCATCTTTCGACTTGGCAATTAAATGCCGGCGGGATAGTGTAGGCACATAGCCTTTGTGATGGAAATTTGCAGTAAGATCTCCCCCAATAAGCTAAGAAACAAAAGTGCAAAGAGTTAATTTCTGCTTCTTCCGCATTCAACTTAAAAGGTTGGTTGGTACACAGTGTTGTGGTTTAGAGCTAGGTCATGATATCTGTACTTTTCAGCTCAACACATTCTATTTCAGCAAATCCTTAATTAATTATCTTTTATTACATGTTTCTCAAGGGGCAGTGAGTATATTCTTTTTCCAACCGAGAGATGGTGCCCGGATCTAAATGGGAAAAGAGTTAGCTTAAAACCAATATATTCTTCACAGTGTGGCATTAAAAAAAATAGAATGAAACAGTTCTAGCAGAAGCTTAGCGTCAGTGACTATGGTCTTGGCCTCCTCACTGTCAGCAAAACCCAGCTAGAAAGACTAGACCGAGTACAAAATGAGGCCATGAGACTCATACTCGGCTGCACAAAAGACACCTCCTGCAACGCCATGAGTTATGTCCTGGGTTTGCCGATGATGACTAGCAGATACAAAGTGGCACAAGTCAAGGCTTACATGAGGATATCGGCAGACGTTAACCACCCATTGCACACAGCTATATACGACACAAAAGGAATGCATCTCAAAAGAGGCCGCTCTTGGATGGCAAAGGCTGAGGATTTGATCCAGCAGGTATGTGACCTAGACGTTATCAGGCACGGAAAAGAATGGATGAATACACCAGTAAACATGCATGGCATCTCTAAGGTTGTCATCACACTCGGAAGGTACTGTCGGGATCAGATTCCTGCGGCCATAGACACAGAAGTAAAGAAACTGATAGATCAGCATTCAGACCCAGAAGATATCATCATCTACACAGATGGATCTGTGAAGCGCGGATCAAGGTCAGCATGGGCATACACAGTGCAAAGAAGGGGGAAAACAATACATGAGGACAGCGGCGCTTACCAGACAGCATGACCATGGAAATAGCCGCTGCTTCTAGAGCTTTAGCATGGGTATCCGAGCAAACCGCCACACAAGCAGTAATTGTCTCAGACTCAATGAATATGCTTCAGAAGATAGCAACAGGCAGTATGCGCTCTGAATGGATAGAAAGCATTAGGAAATCGCACTTAACTTCCGCAACCTGGATCTACACACCGGGTCATGCGGGGGTAAAGGGAAATGAGCGAGCGGACCAACTGGCAAGCACTGCACTGATGATTGCGGGAAAAAGCATGGACAGAGCAGATATCGTCAACGCTGTACGTACTGGGCTAGTGGATAATGAGGAATCCCTGACACTAACACGATTGCGTGACATGGGAGTTAAGCATAGTGAAGCACGTCTTTGCCGTCTTCGAGGTCAAGAAAGGAGACAATATAACCAGCTTCTCATGGGGACAATTAGTAGAAGCACTTTGGAGTGGCTGCTGCTTCGGAGGACTGCGCACGCATGGGTGTGCCCATTGTGCAGTGACGTCGATTGTGAGAATAAAACACAAAAAAACATTTTGTAGGAAGTCGGCATTCCGAAACCCAAGTTCAAGGTGTCTCCTTCGTGCCAAAGAACTGCATAACTGTTGGGTGAACAGTCGTTAACGAAGGCAGTCAGGTCATTGTAGGGGCGACGCCTGCTGATGGACGTAATGTCCTAAGTCCCTTCCCCAGCTAATAGTGAGGGTACTGCTGGGGCGACCATTTATTAACCCTCAGATAATGCTTCAGGTCAAAATGGACGCTAGGCACAGCCACTTTTTTTTTTTTTTTAGTCATGGCAAAAGTTTTTTTTTTTCTTCTGCCAGGCAGTGGCCGTTGCATTTTTGCTCCATTTGTAGACTGGAAGCATATAGTTTCGTCGCCCAGCTTCTGAGTTGAGTGCATGGTGTGACACTGTGAGCTACATGTGTTTTTCGTTGGCACAGGAGCGGAGCAACTATGGGGTGACCCGTTTGCTATGAAGCTGAAACTAGGATTACCAGATTACCAGTTCTAGCAGAAGGAGAATAAGTAGCAAAGCTGGTAATCGGCTGTGTGTTAAGAGAACACACAAAGGAAACAAACGTCTTACCACGTAAGTTGTAAAGCAACTGGAGGGTTGTCATGGAGCTGGATACCTCAAGCTGTAGAAAACCTTAGCTGTAAGATCCAGTCAATCATGAAATAGGCTATCAAATAAAATGACACCTTAGCCGATCTAAGTGGAAATAGGACAGATCTACCATAACATTGTACTTCTCTATTGTATTCTTCAGCCTTTAACTGAGATATCTTTGGCCAGATACAATACTGCACTGGTTTGTAAGACACTATACTCTCATGACATGGCTGAGATAATTAGTTTTCAAAGAAGTTAAAAATTGCTTCTGAAAGGGTTTACTTGAGACATCATACCAGCTTTACTTCATACAACATCAACAAAGATTTCCCTCAAATGTTTCCAACAATGGTGAGACCCCAAGACAAGTATGTGCAATCCCAAGGAGACTACATCAAAGGGGATCAGGGCTTCAGATCTCCAGGGAAGTAAGCGGATTCACATTATCATTATCACCACACTATCTATTAAGCAAACAGTTTATTTTGGAAACTGAAAAACTTTAGCCATATCAAGCGCCATGATGGACCGGAAAGAACAGTGGCGTAGAACACTGTACCAGGTAGGAGAGGCAGAGGTCAACCAGAAGGAAGACAGGCAAAGGACATAAGAGACATCTTGGGTAGTGGAGTACATGAGGCAGAATAGCTTGTGAGGCATGCTGTGATGGATACAACGGTCTGTAAAGTACCTGATACATGATGTCACACCATTTACATATGAAATATTCATATCTACAGAAACACATACAAATCAAGGATTCGTGCTATCTCATCATACTGTCTCACCAGTGTTTACACAACATGTAAATATAAAAAGATCCATGCTATCTCATATTTCCACAACCTTCGTTTAGCCATTATTGTTTACACAATATGCATTTATGCTGCACACACATATAATCCCAAACAGTTAACTGATATATAAATGTAACCATTGTGGTCGCATGTTGGTAAATTTTAAAATATTACAATAAACCCAACATACCAAAGTTACAAGCGACTGTTGATTTAACTGCAACTTTTCAAGGATTTGAGAACTACAAGGAATGACGAGCCCTGGTGTAACAGAGATAGGTGATGTTGACGACCTCCAACTTGATGTGAATGATTCTGGTAGTGATACCAGTGAAGATAATATCAAGCAGTTCACAAGATGAAAGTTAAATCTGAAAATAAAATACAAAATTTGTTTAATGATGATGTTTGTGTGAAACAACAGGACGCATATTATGTGGGTTTGTTCAGGCAGCTAGTCTAGGA